ACAATTTATTGTATTACAACGTTTATACTTACTGCACAATGTTCCTTATTTACACAAGATGAACATTTACTGAAATCTGTAGTATGAACTGCACACTCAAACACCATATTTATATATTTCTTTCCACAATGGCAAGGAAGATATTTCATCACTTATAACAATATACTTCTCAAGACAATATTACTACACAAAGCATTTGAATAGCAAAATAATTACTCAAAAGTTCAGAATAAAGTTCATAAGTACGCAGAACGTGTGGCAGACAGTCTTGTTGTAACAAGTTTAAATGTTAAAAATGAAAAAAGATGTCCACCATTTCTAACGCACAATTTATAACACATTTAAATAATACAGAAAATGAGAAAATGAACAGAGATCTACTATTTCTAATGCATAATTTATTATACTACAATAATATAGAAAAAGAGAGATCAGTTTCAGTCTTTTAAGTTCAGAATAAAGTTCAGAAGTATGCACAACGCATGGCAGTAAGTCTTGTTGTAACGCATTTAAATAATATAGAAAATGAGAAAATGAACAGAGATCTACTATTTCTAATGCATAATTTATTATACTACAATAATATAAAAAAAGACAGATAGTTTTAGTTCTTTAAGTTCAGAATAAAGTTCATAAGTACGCAGAACATATCGCAGAATGCCCTGTTGCAAGAAATTTAAATATCTAAAATAAAGTGAGAAAATGAACAATGAGGTCCACTATTTATAACTCACAATTTATTGTATTACAACACTTATACTTACTGCACAATGTTCCTTATTTACACAAGATGAACATTTACTGAAATCTGTATTATGAACTGCACACTCAAACACCATATTTATATATTTCTTTCCACAACGGCAAGGAAGATATTTCATCACTTATAACCATATACTTCCCAATACAATATCATTATACACAAAAAGTCTTGTTGTAACACATTTAAGTAATGAGAAAATGAACAGACATCCACTATATGTTTTTGGGATCAAATCTAACCTGTATACAAATTTGTATAATTCTCTTGGCGTTATTTCTATTTGCACCAGAGCCTCCTTAAAAATATCAATTGCCAGCATTTCTTCCTCTCCCACAAATGTCATTCTCTCTAAAAGCCTTAAATGAAGACCGTATCACGGTTGAAACAATGAATCAGTGAGAAACTATCTATACAATGAACGTGACGCGAGTACTCATTCATCTACGCAAAAGAACAGTATGACGAAGGGTTTCCGCCAGCGAAAGGTCGACTCGAAGTGCAAAGTTCGCTTTTCCGATAAAAGAATCGCGTGAAAACCGACCGAAACTCTTCCGAAGCATGATTCGTCGTCATGCGAATGAGATCATCGGATTCAGTGCGCGTATCGTGTCGGTTTTCGTTTCTAGAAGGCGACCAAGTCTCCAAAATGACGGCGATCTTGTTGCAGTGCGTTGGAAACTGCTTCCACGGAAGGAGAATACGCGCAGGTTTGTGGAAGCGCTAGTTCCCGAGCAACGAGCTTATTTCTAGACCGACTTTTCACCTTTTATGTGCGGCGCACAAAACGGTTCTCGGCGATAAAAAATCCATAACCTTGGTTCTCTTGAAAATATTTTAATGAAATTTTAGGAACTTATTCCCTATACTATGATACTTAAATTGTATTAGTATAAGTCAATTTGAGCTACAGGGTGTCCAAATATTCACGTATAAAGTGTAACCCATTCAATATCTTTCACTTGTTTGACATATTTATTGTTATTTAACCAAAATTCGACTCAAACTTGTTATTAACTATGAGAGAAACGTATTTAGTAATTTAAAAATGACAAGATGTACGTAATAATCATAGAAGTAAGCGTACAAACGTACATACTATTTTCTGTTTAATTTTTCAAAAAAGGACACGAAGGAGTACCTGATCATTGTAGAATCTGATAGAGGATGGTTCACCCTTTCCAGTGATAGCAATTAAACCTCGGACAAGTGCGGTCAATTTTTTATAACCATGCGTAAAGTTACAATTTTACTTAAATCCACTTCTCTCCAAGCAGTGTCGACCCTATTATTTAAAAAGTTGTTAACATTTTGATTTACTTTATGCATTGAATACTAACTAAAATCGATTTTTGATCGCCGAAAACCGTTTCGTCCCACCGTGCGTCGCACCACAATGTTGTACAAAATTATATTACACCTAAACACATAAACATATAGAAATATTTTCCTTAATTTATGTTAACAGTTCATAATATTTTAACTTGTATCTATGGCGTACAGTTCATCGGCTTAGTAATACTATACAGGGTGTCCCAAAAGTCGGGGAGGAGCCGGAAATGGGGGGGTAGCTGAGACGATTCTGAACAACAATTTCCTTTGCAAAAATGTCGGATGGGGCTTCGTTAAGGAGATATTAAGCGGAAACCCCGACCAATCAGAGCGCGCGTAGACCGTTGGAGCGGCCGCGGTAGCGAAGGCTACGTGCTGACGGCCGCGCTTGTACGCGAACAAGTGACTCCTCGACGTGCATCGAAGGACATTGACGCTGCCGCCTAGCGCGTAGCCTTCGCTATCGCGGCCGCTCGAACGGTCTACGCGCGCTCTGATTGGTCGGGGTTTTCTCTTAATATCTCCTTAACGAAGCCTCATCCGACATTTTTGCAAAGGAAATTGTTGTTCAGAATCGTCTCAGCTACCCCCCATTTCCGGCTCCTCCCCGACTTTTGGGACACCCTGTATAACTTGGTTTAAGGTAATACAGGGGGTTAATGCGTTATATTATTTGTTACATATTATTATTACTTAACATTACTGTTTCTCCTTAAATCTCGTCTACTGCCAGAGATTGACTATTATACAGCTGTCTCTCTTTTTTTCTTTATCTCCTAATGTTACAACAAACTAATATCCTGGCCTGAACTAAAAGTTTATTTGATTATTTTTCCCGATTACTCTATGGGGGAAAAGAAAAAGAAAATAAATAAAAATAATTATTTTTATTGCAGATTCCTTGAGCAGAAATTTTCCAATGAAAAATGAAAAATTAATACTTTAAAGCCAGTCCATCTGTGGTTATTACATCCACCTGTATATCATCAATGTTCCTTAAAGTTACTGCTTATCCTATATTTTTTTATACAGCAATAGTTGTACATAGTAACTCGGTTATAAACTAAATCACATTTCAAAACAACACAACACATATAACTATGCCCATTATAATTATGGAAACTTAACATTATGTCTGTTACATTTTCTTAGAACGATTGTATATGTATATATGTATATATGCTTATATTACTATATTTGACTATTTACATATAATATCTGTTTATTATGACTAATCACATGTTTTATTGTATCTTTGTACTCTAAGTTCCGTGTTTTATTTTAATCGTTATTAATATAATTCTCCTTTCTTTTTTATATAAAAATATATTCACCCGTTTTTTTCTGTCCCCTTCTTACCCGTTTTTTTCTGTTCCCTTCTTACATTCAAACTTAAACCACCATCTCCGCTTCGATATCTCCCCCCCTTTAAATAATCACAGGAAGCGTTGCTTACAAAAATTCCCCTCGAAGGGGACATAACGACGGTGGCGATAATTTCTTGGATGGAAGCAGTAGAGATTCGAACTTCGACTTCTACTTTCAAACCCAATATTTAGCTTCACGTGAAAGCTTGAGAATTATATTTCTGCGCATGTCGCGTGTAACGCATTTTGAGGAGATCATACATTTCCGTTAGTGCTTCAAATAAACTTCACGTTTTTTTTTGTTTATGTTTTTTTTTGTTTTTGATATCACAACCAACGAGCAAATCTGTTAATTATTAAATTATTTAATCAACAATTAGGCCACAACTTTGATAACGAAAATTGTAAGTACAAAAGTGATTTTGACGCGGATTGAAATACAAATTTGGATACGATGGAATGGTAGGGGGTAATACTTAATCTAGAATGAGAGTTCAACGCGAATTAAAATGCACCTTTGAAGTACCGATGGAAAGTAATTATAGCGAAGTAAAATGTAGATATACGTAAATAACCTTAATAATTACCTTTATTAAGTGTACAAACTTTGTACTACAAAAAGTCAGGACTAAGTATTTCATAAACCTTCATAGTTTCTGTGTCATGTTATATATATATATATACAAATATGATATATACAGGGTGGTCCACGTAAATTTTTGTTATAATGGGTGGTCCGCTTTTATATTATTGCATACCGTGTGCATTTTGTAGTTTCTTGTAGTTCTTGTAGTTGCACATTAAAATTTCCTATAAATGCATAAAAATCCTAAGTCGAAGATCTCAATGGTACGAAATGCTATCAAAATTGCTAGACATCAAAATTTCAACATTCAAAATGGCGGATTCAATATGGGCGACATGTATATTAGAAATTTGATAGATTCGCGTTAAATTGATGTATTATGGTTTTTGTGGTCGCTGATTACGAACCTGAAATAAGAATTTCGAAATCCAAAATGGCGGATTCAATATGGCCGACATTGTATATCAGAAATTTGTTAGATATGCGTAGAAATTGGTATATTATGGTTTTCGTGGTAGCAGATTACGAATGTGACATCAGAATTTCGAAATTTAAAATGACGGATTCAATATGGCCGATATGTACATTAGAAACTTGTTAGATTTGCGTAAAAATTGTTATATTATAGTTTTCGTGGTAGCAGATTGCGAATGTGACATCAGAATTTCGAAATTCAAAATGGCGGATTCAATATGGCTGACATGTATATTGGAAATTTGTTAGATTCGCGTAAAAATTGCTACATTATGGTTTTTGTGATCCCTGATTACGAATCTGACATCAGAATTTCGAAATGTTCAATCGAGATATGACCGTCTTTTGGAACTTCTGATCGCCAACTCTGAATACCATTTGAAGGCGTTCTGTTCTGTTTTAGTCTCCAGAATGTAAGATCGATTAAAAACAAATAATATCCTGTTTTTGATTAACGATGACGAAATTTCGTTTGTTATAGGTATGCACTGCCTAGGTGCGGTGACAGGAGGCGTGCCCAGCCCAAATGGGGTTGGTGGTCGGGGTGGCATTCTTAGCGTGTTCCGAGCCCTTGGAGTCCTTGTGTGCGAAGGGAGGATTCAGGGCCCTCCACGGGGTTACAGAGAGGGCCCACACTGCGCAGCGCCTATGCAGGCGCCCCCAAATGACCATGTGTGCGAAGAAGACAATTACTTGGTAAAATAATCCATTCTTGTTACTTATATCCTTTTTAGTGACGAACGATAATATATTATTGCGAATGCGATGGGCGCTTTACTGTTCGTATTGCCAGAGAACTCTATTTCAAAATAAATTTATGAAATGTTATAAATACTCTAATTTCATTGTATAACAAATGAAAAAATTGTTTATTCATTTAACTTTTTGTTATACTTGGATTCAATATGATCGACATGTATATTAGAAATTTGTTAGATTTGCGTAAAAATTGGTGCATTATGGTTTTCGTAGTCGCTGATTATGAATCTGACATCAGAATTTCGAAATTCAAAATGCCGGATTTAATATGGCCGACATGTACATCACAAATTTATTAGATTCGCGTAAAAATTAGTACATTATGGTTTTCGTGGTCGCTGATTACGAATCAGACATCAGAATTTCACAATACAAAATGACCGATTCAATATGGCCGACATATATATTAGAAATTTGTTAAGTCCGCATAAAAATTGGTTCATTATGGTTTTCGTCGTCAGACATCAGAATTTCGAAATTCAAAATGGTGGATTCAATATGGCCGACATGTACATTAGAAATTTGTTAGATTTGCGTAAAAATTGGTGCATTATGGTTTTCGTAGTCGCTGATTACGAATTTGATATCAGAATTTCGAAATTCAAAAATGCCGGATTTAATATAGCCGACATGTACATTACAAATTTATTAGATTCGCGTAAAAATTAGTACATTATGGTTTTCGTGGTCGCTGATTACGAATCAGACATCAGAATTTCACAATTGAAAAAGGTCGATTCAATATGGCCGACATATATATTAGAAATTTGTTAAGTCCGCATAAAAATTGGTTCATTATGGTTTTCGTAGTCGCTGATTACGAATTTGACATCAGAATTTCGAAATTCAAAATGCCGGATTTAATATGGCCGACATGTATACTAGAAATTTGTTAGATATGCGTAGAAATTGGTGCATTATGGTTTTCGTAGTCGCTGATTACGAATCAGACATCAGAATTTCGAAATTCAAAATGACCGATTCAATATGGCCGACATGTATACTAGAAATTTGTTAGATATGCGTAGAAATTGGTATATTATGGTTTTCGTAGTCGCTGATTACGAATCAGACATCAGAATTTCGGAATTCAAAATTGCGGATTCAATATGGCCGACATGTATACTAAAAATGTGTTAGATTTGCGTAAAAATTAATGCATTATGGTTTTCGTGGTAGAAGATTACGAATGTGACATCAGAATTTCGAAATTTAAAATGGCGGATTCAATATGGCTGATATGTATATTAGAAATTTGTTAGATATGCGTAGAAATTAGTACATTATGGTTTTCGTGGTCGCTGATTACGAATCTTTCATCAGAATTTCGAAATTCAAAATGACGGATTCAATATGGCCGACATATTCGTCACGACGATAATGACCGAAACAGTTGAGTGCGACAGAATTATTGATCGAAAGGTCTCGAACAAAGGCAAAGTGGAACCTTGAAATTCTCCTGGTTTATTCTCGCAAGACTCCAACAAAAGGATTACACGATATACAGTACGATACGCACAATATGCATTAGTAAGCATCAATGCTAAATAAATTATCTGCGTTAATATGAAGAAGCTTACAAGGTCTACCCGTTAAGTTACGCAGTAAGACCGAACTAAAGATAACATGTATTACTATTTCATAGTTAACGCGTCTTCTTTAATACGATTTGTCCAGTGCAATCGATATCTTGTGCTCGTCCGGGAGATCACGGACCGTACCGTGGTTGGGTCGTTCCTGTGCATTGAAGTGGTGTTGTGCAGCGACTGTCCGTGCGGTTTTGCCAAAGCTGCAACGAAGAACCCGATCTGCACCGTGCCATCCTTATCAATCTCACCATGGCAACACACGTCGGAGATGCTGCTGGAGTATTGGTGTGTCTCCACTGTTCCAAGCAAGTGAGTGTTATCATCTCCTCGAGAATCGCCTTCTACCATGTTAAAAATTTAAATTAAAAATTAAATTAAAATATTACATTCAAAATCAAGATTAAATATCATCGTGTTATAAAATTAGGTCCAGATACATTTGATAGGCACAATAAAATTCAACGTTCGAAATTGGATTATACAAGTATATGTAGATATAAGTAGATCGCGGGTTTTATCCATTTATGATGTAAAATAATGATAGTAATTTTGTTTACGGGAAGAAGCCCTTCATATAAATTAAAATAATTATATTTTCCGCTCTTTTCGATTCCGGCATCAAAAATAGGGGTTCCCGTTAAAAGAAAACAAGTTGACCTTGAAATGACCTTGAGGTTCAAAGTCAAATACAAGGTCACCATTTTGGATTCTTCATAGAAAGTTACTTAATGTGTGACCTTTGTTTTTTTTTTGTTTCATCACTAAACTCGAGAGATATTTCAAGGTCAAATCCAAGGTCACCATTTTGGATTCCTTGAAGGTTACCTAATGTGTGACCTTTGTTATTTTTTGTTTTATCACGAAACTCGAAAGATATCTTGAGGTTTCCATACTTTTTTCCCATTCTGTATTGTATGCCTTTATTGCTTAGACCGTATTTTTCAAAATCTCATCGTTTTTTTTTTTTTTTTATATTCTCTATATTCAAATAAATATGCGTTGCACCCAAAAATTCTTTATGGATTTAAAGAAAAAAAGAATGTAAAAGAATACCCGGAAAAGCGATAAGATTCTTGTATTGCTAAGAGTTGACGGTTTCAATTATTTATTATTCTTGTTAAGAGTAATATAAATAAAGGATATGTTATTCATATTACATTCTAATGAAAAATTCTTTTTCAATGAATGGTATACATCAGGACTTCTTAAACTATGGGTCGCGACCACAAATCGAGTCGCTTGATTTTAATGTTAAATATTTAATATTCTCTTTTATTTTTGTTATTGCAAGAAATGCAGTTTTGATGAAAAATATGGTATGTAATTTTTGTAACTATTATAAATACAATTTTACAACTTTCTGTAGAATTTTAATTTCATATTTTTGTATATTTCTAAACAAATTCAAAAACTATCTTATTTTCATATGTATATATATTGGTACCTAAGCAATAAATCATCACAAAATGTTTACATATCTTTGTTTTATATTTCTTGGGTTGCGAAAAATATCACAATCATAAATGGGGTCGTGAATGAAAAATGTTTAAGAAGCCCTGTTGTACATGTTTGCATAACTTTATTTCTACTTTTATCAAAAATATACACAAGCAAAATTCCTGAGAATTTAAAATAGAAATAAAATAGAAATAATCTCTGTGAATAGAATTGAATGTATCGACAAATATGTACGTATTTGCGTAGGATAAACGAAAAGAAGTAATGGTATATTAAAGAAAACTATAATATAATATAATTCGAAAAATGTCGTCGCCATTAAATAGAAACTGTTATCAAAGAGCATATCCACACCTTCGAATTATTCTTGATAATATAAAGAATGTTCGAAGATGGCCAAGGCACACCTATTATGGATGGTGAACAGAATTTTTGAATTAACTAAAAATAAAATTAAAAAATTAACTAAACTTTACAATTATAATCAATGATTATTAATCATGTATTACATTGCGTTTAAAATTGTTTTCCAGGAGCCCAGAGACGATGAACTTCTACGGCCTGTACCAAGCAGTTCGTTCGCGGCTTCACTTTAGTCAGGTGGCAGCTTGGTGGTCCCGAAGCAACGGCAACGAGCCAAACTACATCGCGACGAGGGTGGTACCGTATAACGAGGAAAATCTGAGGAAATTTCGGGAAACCCCCGTAGAGCACACCTTCCCTCTGGCTGGTAACGGCGATGGAAATTCGATAAAGGTAGGGAAACCGTGTCTAGAACCCGTCGCGTTCGTCATTATCCCGACCCGCTAGCTTACACTAATACACATTATTACATCAGCAAACGAAAGTCGGAGCCATGTAAATCTGGCCACGCGACTTTCAAACATTTTTTTTTTTTTTTTTTTTTTTTTTTTATATATATATATATATAAAGGAAAATGGTGACATTTCGTTTGTAGTTGATTATAGTAGCAATAACTTACAATAGTTTCATTTGTAGATTCATCAATTAAGCTTTTCGATGCTCTGTGCGAGTATACTCATCAAATTATTTTGTTTTTGTCGTGGTCAAGGTGAGTTGAATCACATGAGCTTATTGTTAATGAGTTAATGAGATTAATGAGTTAACGCGTCTTGAGCTCTTCCCTATTTAAAAGGCTCATGCGATTTAACTCACCTTGAGCACGACAAGAACAAAATAATTTGACGATTAATTTAATTTTTATACTCGCCCAGAGCACCGACAAGGTTAATAAATAAAAAATATTGAAAAAATGACCCGCACCCGACATTAAGATATCTCAAATCCGTTTTTTTCATGTGATTCTGAATCGTTTGGAGTTGTTTGTAGTCATTCCAGTTTCGTCTGTAGTTGAATAGTTTAAAAATTACAATAGATTGTTGATACGCCTAAGAGGCGACTTCGTCAATTTTCAAGATTTTTAAAATCTGTTTTTACCATCTAATTCAGAATCGTTTTTAGTTGTTTTTAGTGATTTCCGTTTCGTCTATAGTAGAATAGTTTAAATGTTATAAACAATTGTTTATACGCCTAAGAAGTAAAACTTCGTCAATTATCAAGAGTTTTGAAATCCGCTTTTCCATCTAATTAAGAATCATTGGTAGTCGATTGTAGTAATCTTCCTTTCGTTCGTAGTTGAATCATTCAAAAGTTATAAACAATTGTTTATACGCCTAGGAGATATCTTCATCAATTTTCAAGATTTTCTAAATATTCTTGTTCCATGTGATTCAGAATCGTTTCTAGTTGTTTTTAGTGATTTCCGTTTCGTCTATAGTAGAATAGTTTAAATGTTATAAACAATTGTTTATACGCCTAAGAAGTAAAACTTCGTCAATTATCAAGAGTTTTGAAATCCGCTTTTTCCATCTAATTAAGAATTATTGGTAGTCGATTGTAGTAATCTTCCTTTCGTTCGTAGTTGAATCATTCAAAAGTTATAAACAATTGTTTATACGCCTAAGAAGTAACTTCGTAAATTTTCAAAATTTGTTAAATCTATTTTTTCCCTATTCTCCAGTATCGTTTCTAGTTGTTTGTAGTGATTTCCGTGTCGTCTGTAGTTGAATACTTCAAAAGTTATAAACAATTGTTGATACGCCTAAGAGGCGACTTCGTCAATTTTCAAGATTTTTTAAATATTCTTGTTCTATGTGATTCAGAATCGTTTGTAATTGATTGTAATGATTTCCCTTTCGTGTGTAGTAGAATACTTTAAAAGTTATAAACAATTGTTTATACGCCCAATAGGTAATTTTGACATTTTGTAAGATTTGTTAAATCTGTTTTTTCCCTGTTCTTCAGAATCGTTTCTAGTTGTTTGTAGTAATTTCTGTTTCGTCTATAATAAAATAGTTTAAATGTTATAAACAATTGTTTATACACCTAAGAGGCAACGTCGTCAATTTTCAAGATTTTTAAAATCTGTGTTTTCCCTGTTTTTCAGAATAGTTTGTTGAAGGGTGAAAATCGACATTCCCGAACTTTCCCGATATTGTTTTACAAATTTGTTTGAATAGAACCTCGTCTATTGTTTTAGTGGAAGGGCTGTACTCTCATGCAAAAAAAAGAGCTAAACCCTGCCAACTTTTTTAATAATATAAAAAATATAAATTTAATACTAAAAACATAAATTTAAAAAAATATATAATAATATAAACAAAATTTTGTTTACGTCACAATATAGAACTCGCTGTATCCTACAATTTACATCTAAACAATTTCTTCGTATCATCAATAGTTATTGAAATATGCGTCTGTCATACTTCACCGTGGACACCCAGTACTATCACCTCGATTCGCAAATACGTAATTCTTTATCAATTGCCCCAAAACACTGAATGTTCAAATTGCTCGAATCGCTGGATCATGTCCCCGCCATAAACGATGCTTCGATTCCAAAGCACTCGATTCAGTTACTAAAAAAGACAAAAGTAGACCGAATCAACATCTTGCCGATTTGCTGGGTGTACGCGTCCCCTCGATGCGAATTGTTTCGTTAATAATCTCCGCAGGAGTGGAAATTCGTTCGATCTGTGGCAAGCAACCGCTCGCGGTGAAACGATACGTTGTGGTAAAAGCTTCGAGGTCAATGTTCCTCGCGTACCGTCCATGTAATCCGCATGGTGGTCCGCGTATTCGGGTGTACCTTCTCGGTTCTATTCTGGTTGGCCGAGGACACTAACGAATGCCTACTTTTAACCGGTAGATGAGTCACACCGATCATGTTCGAGTGCCGCGACTGCATTTAATGGAGCTGAAGAGGATTTCTCGTGCAAATTTTAGGTGACCGTGTGGGCACTGCCGAGGATGGAGGAGCTGCCGATTCTCACCTGCCCGTTGCACCCGATCAAAGAGAAGGACGAGGAGGGTGTCGCGAGGGCTTTGACACCCACCAAGGCTATCCCGGTGCCCAGTGCTTCACAGAATCCCGAGGCTCTGGTTTTGCCTGGTAATGAAGGAAATTACTGACGACGAACGTGATATTTCGGTCCTCGAGTATCACCTTCGGTATCGATTTAAGCTTCACCTTCCAATCTTCGGTCCATCGCGTCGGTTTCTTTGGTCTCTACCATTTGTTTTCCTCCTCTGTAATCGTTGTACTCTCTTGTTAGAAAGAGGCTTACCCAGTGGATCAAAACAAAAAAAAACAAAATAAGAATGAAGTGGTATTTAGAAAATTCAAAAAGGAGGAGCATATTATGAAATAAAGGGAGAATAAAGCAATCCAAATTGTATTTCAATATTTGTTGAAAATCATACGAATAACGTAAGCATAATAATTAATTTCTCTTTTACAAACAATATTTGAACAAAAATAACAACCTAAAACAAAAATGTTCCTTTGATCATCGCTTTATATAAATCATGTGGTATGAAGTACAGATAATTTATCTTCAATCGTTTTTAACAAAATAACTGATATGGGACCACAAGACTAAAATATGATAATTTCAGGATGCATGGCAAGCGTCAGAAGGACTATCTGCTACAAAAATAATGATTGGTGTAGCTAGTGTAACGTTACTGAAACAAATCTTTTGTATTATCACAAACATTTATATTTATGTCACAAACAAATATTTAGTTATCTGGTCTACCTGTTAAGTTATGTGACTATTATTTAGGTATTTCCGGTAGTGCAATTAAAGAATGTTTTAGACAAAAGGCGATGAGCTACGTGTTTGCATATTTATAACTCTGAAAAAATGCTTTTTACATATAAATGTAAAGATCACTTTGACTTTTGTAAATGGCACCACACGTTTTGGACGTCATAAAGTCATTGCTGATGTCGAGACGAATTCAACAGTGTAACAGTTGTAATTTCTTACAACTTAAATCAGGTTACATCAGATGCATTCCATCTTCTACGATACAGAGTACCAATTTTTGTATTAGAGTTTTCTATGTCCCTGTACACATTGTAAAATGTATTGCACTTCTTTTTGATACTGAATTTGTATTAATTTTTAATTTAATTTAATTTGTATTAATTGCAGTGTAACATTTGTAATTTCTTACAAATTAAATCAGGTTACGTCAGATGCGATCAATCTTCTATGATACAGAGCACCAAATTTTGTATTAGAGTTTTCGTTGTCCCTGTACACATTGTTAAATGTATTGTTTTTTTTCTTTAATATTGAATCTTGATCATTTCTAATTGAATTTAACTTTCTGATATTATTTTAAAATTGATATTTGTTCTCTGAAGAAAACTACGCTGAACATTGCTTAAAAGACCAAACAAACCTTTGCGTCAATTATTGTAGGATCACAATTTACCTAATTATCTGCAACATTGGTTATTATAATCTATGTAACTTTTCTCTTTATCACTCTTCCTACACTATTGCCATTTGATATAATGAACGTTGCTCAAAGGACCAAACAAACCTTTGCGTCAATTATTGTAGGATCACAATTCACCTAATTATCTGCCACATTGGTTATAATCCATGTAACTTTTCTCTTTATCATGCTTCTTCCACTATTGCCATTTGATATAATGAACGTTGCTCAAAAGACCAAACAAACCTTTGCGTCAATTATTGTAGTAAGTTCTTGATCATTTCTAATTATATTTAATTTTTTGATATTATTTTAAAATTGATATTTGTACACCGAAAAGGACTACGCTGAACATTGCTCAAAAGACCAAACAAACCTTTGCGTCAATTATTATAGGATCACAATTTACCTAATTATCTACCACCTTGGTTATCATAATTCATGTAACTTTTCTCTTTATCACACTTCTTACACTATTGCCATTTGATATAATGAAGTGTCTAACGTGAACAAAAACAAGTTTCAGGTAAAAGCGTATGTGTTGATATTCTCCCTCTTGTATTGATGTTTCAAGTCGTTGACAAATTAGCGAAGCTGATGCTCGAAGAATCAGTCTTACCAAAGAGTCGAGCCTGAACAAATTTGCTTTTCTGGAATAGTTCTGGTGGACGACAGGCTGCAGACGCCCTGCAACATGCCCGGAAAGCATCACTGCAACTGCGAGGAGGAGGACGGTTCGCCGCCGTCGCCGTCGATCCCGCGACCCAACAGCGAAAGAAAGCGTCGCAGGTCGCTTCCTTGCGGTCCATCGGATTCAGTTTCCTGCGTGACAGTTCAGCCGATGCCTCTGCCGTCCGTGCAGGAGACAGCGACGCAGGAGCCGAAGGATAGCCAGAGTTCCAGCTACCCAAAATGCTCGTCCGAGATCTCGAACAACCGCGTCCAGTCGCGGCCTGTGCAGGGTCAGTCTTGCAAGCTGGAGGAGAACGGCGTCAGGAACCGGAACAACCTCAACTCCGACAACCTGGAGCGTTGCTTCAAGACGCAGCTGAACATCGACGAGCGCGAGGGGAACATGGAGAAGCGTTACAAGCGAACCATCGAGGACCCGGAGCCTCCGCAGCTGAAGTCTGTCGCTACCGGTGTCAAAGAGAAACAGTGCAATTTGGAGAAGGACGCGCAGAGCGGCAGCAAGAAAACGAAAGAAGCAGAGAGCAAGTCTACGGAGAAGAACGGGCTGTTCGAGAACTTGATACCGTTCAATTCCTCGTTATCGTGGTCATTTGTGGAGTCGTGGAACAACAGCACCGCGAATGGAAAATGCGCGTATTATGGTCTACGAGGGAACAAAGACGGATATCTAAATGACCCTGAAAGAACCTGCAAACCGCCGGTGTCCAAGGACCCGTACCTCGTGATAAATCCGTTCAGACAACCTAGTCCTTTCCACGAGTCAAATCCAGGACCGTCGACGAACAATCGGTTGAAACAGGAGTCGTTGAACACCGCCTGCATGGTGCACCAAAGCTGCGCGAAACCGTCGAACAAGCTGCCGAGCGCAGGCGGAGTGTCCCCTGGACAGGAAGCTTTGAAATTGGAGGATGTAGCGGCGAACAACAGAGGAAGACCTGGGAAGGACTTGAGCCAGTTGATGTCGAAGTTGTCGTTTCCTGAGGACAAGGAGAAGCCGAAAGATGAAGGAGGATTCTTGGATTGGTTCAGCAGGGTTCCAGGGAGAGTTCTTGGTGTCGCGCCGAGCAACGGTTACGTGGAGAACAAGGTGAAGAACTTGAAGAGCCAGGAGCAACACGGGAACGAGGTCAGGTTCAAGAATTGCAATCTGGAGTTGAGTCAACGCGAGTTCGACGAGGTTTTGGCTGTATTGAGGGCCAGGACACCGTCGGGACGGAAGAGGACCAGCGTCAAGACCTCGAAGAAGCGGGAACGGTCGGAGAAGTCGGTCGAGGACGGAGTGGACAGAAAGTACTACGTGAACTTGGAGAGCAACGAATGCTCGGCGAACAACATCGTGAACCGCGGCAAGTTCTGCGAGGGCTGCAGCCACAAGCTCTGCAGGAAGAACGATCAGCAAGCGATGGAGAAGTCCACTTTCACCGAGATCTATGGCAATAAGAACATCTACGATCCGTCACGGAAACGGGAGAAACTCGACTGCGGTGGGTCGAGCGAGGATCTGCAAGCAGTGAAACGCAATAACGTAGAGAAGCGAACGAACGAGCCCATGGACTGCTTGCAGAACGTCTCGAACAAAGCGGATATTCTACTGGGAGCAATCTTGCGAACCAGCAAAGATCGAAGGAACCTGCCGGAGGGTTCCAGCGGGACCAAACCCAGGTCTGCTTTGCCAACGTTCAGTGGGGATGCGGAGAGCGACCGAGACAACGACTGCGAGAAAGCAGCTGCCGAGCAGAGAATCGTCGTGCCATTGGAGGACGAGAAGTCGTTACATATGGCGTTGAACAAGAGATTCAATCGGTTCCGGCAACTCTTCAAGAAGGAACAGGAGAAGAAGGCGAGCTTGACTACGGAGGATTTCCAAGAGGTCCAACAGCCGGTACTGCGTTCGTTCTGGTGCAACAACCTCCAGCCCAGCTTGCACGATCCAAAGAATTTGAGGGACAGCAAGGTGAAGAGGAGGATAGACTTTTCCAATTTCATTGAGGAAACGGAGAAGAGGTACACGTGCACCGATCCGTCGGGACTTAGTACAAATGGCGCACATCAAAACCCAAGAATCTATAGTACAAATTACAAGGTATATAAACTACCTCTTCTATCGAACAAACCCTTTTATTTGGTTAGGCTAGGTTAGGCTCATTTAAATCATTCTAAAACGAAGACTAAAGCAGAAAGATATTATTAAGTTGTCCCAAAAGTTTCATTCGTGAGTTCCATTCAATTATTTTCTGTAGCAGTGTTTATATACAGAGACTCCCAGAAATATTCAGACACTAGTGTATGGTTAGCTTTATGACTTAATATCGTAGTTATTAAAAAAGCAATTGTCTTCGTTACTTTTTCCAATAATAAGTCATTTATTAATGTTATTAAAGATGTATACATTAATCAAAAAATTTACGTAAATTACATAATAGCAATAAACAAACGAAAGAATATCACATTTTCGGGTACGATAAAACACGGAGAAGGCATTGTAATGGTGTGGGGATGCATTTCGACTTCCGGCGTTGTCAATTTAGTTTTTATCGATGGCATCATGGTTAAGAATGCTTATCTTTTAAAATCTTTTAAAAAGCAATTTAAAACAAAGTGCAGAAAAAATGGGGATTGCTGAAGATTTTAAATTTTACCAGGATAGTGATTCTAAACATAAGTCGCGCATTGTCTAAGAATTTTTATTGTATAATTGCCCCAAAGTCCTTCATCCACCTCCACAATCGCCAGATCTTAACCCTATAGAAAACTTATGGGATAAGTTGAACCAACGGATTCGCAAGACACCCATTCGTTCCAAAGAAGTACCTAAAATTAGGCTTCAAGAAGAATAAGCATCCATTTCGACAGAATATTTAAAAAAAATAATTTCTAATATGCCGAATCGATTGAGACATATTATAAAAGAAAAGGGATCTGCAACAAAATATTAATGTGGAACATATAATGTTCAATTTTAATTAATAAATGTTATTCCTCATAGTGTTCGAATATTTTTGTGACCCGTAAATGCGGTATTCTTTCGTTTGTTTATTGTTATTATGTAATTTATATCTTATATATATATTTTTTTAATAATGTTAATAAATGATTTATTATTGGAAAAAGTAACGAAGACGATTGCTTTTTTAATAACTACGATATTAAGCCATAACGGTAACCATACACTGTTGTCCGAGTATTTTTGGGACTCACTGTGAATAGACAATCTAATTTTTTAGACATTGATGCTGTAACAGTAACGAAGCGAAATGAATTGTACACAATTTTGTAATGTAGCATAAAACATAAAATATTGCGTATGTATTAATTATTAATAAAACGAAAGAAACTTTTGGGACAACCTAATGGAACGATTAACACAAATATAAGTTTATATAAAATTGTAAACTTAAGAAAATAAACCACATTAAGAGGTCAAATATTATGTTTCTCGAAATTTTTCTTTTTATAGAGAAAAATTTATTTCATTTTCTTTAACTTGGAGAGTAATTTTTGGTATATATTAAAGTTCATCTAGTAATTTTTTCAATTCATTTCATTTTTTCATTTCCCTATAGCAAGTTTTCGACCGAGTCTGCTGTTGTTGGGAATTTTAAATCTCACAATTGTTATCTGAAACGAAACTTTTTTCTTACATTGTTAAGATGTTTTCCAAGAATTTGAAGTAAACTGAATTAAATTCAAAAAAGTTGACAATTGAATTTTTCTAAAACGTTTAAGGAAATAGTATCAATTTTTACTACTTGTGCAACTTTTTGTAGGTAAAAAACATACTTTACTTAATACTTTCATTCCAATCTTTAGTTCACATCCAAGACATTTAAATAAAGTAACCGTAAATAAAGTTTAAAAACGATCGGTCGATTAGTTTTTGAGTTATCATTGCTACGAAATGGATGAATGTACTTCCAAAAAATGCGCGACATCTCAAAGGTTTCTGTGCGATATGAGTCGAAAAAATTACCAAATGTACCTTTGAACATATCTTAAATATTCCCAAAATTATGAAAAAGTTAACATAAATTATTCTCTATACAAACAATATCTCAAGAAACACTTAATACTTGGCCTTCGAGTGTGATTTTCGCCTTAAAAAAGTTACCTTCTGCTTTCATTACATACAGGGTCTATCCATTAAATCAGGACCAATTTGACGAATTTGCTAAAGTTTAGGAAAAAGCTCAAAAAAAAAAAAAAACAAAATAAGAATGAAATTGTATTTACAAAATTCAAAAAGGACCATATTACGACATAAAGGGAGAATAAATCTTATATTGTATTCCGCAGACTGAAAAGATTTAAGCCTTTAGACAATAGTAGCAGATTCTAAGATATTAGTGTAATAATAGATTAATAGAAAGTTAGTAATTATAAGTTATACAAGAAGATATGGACCAGTGGGTGAAATATTTATATATTCAATTTTTCAAAGACAAAAATATTGAATATTGTTATATTTTGTGTAACAAATTGCAATAAATGCCATAAAGAAATATTAAGTTATTGCTTAACAATGGTTAGAGTATGATTACAGCTCAACAAGTTATGGTTAGAACAATTTAAATATAACAGAAACTTTTAACAGAAACTATTTTATACCAGCTGTATTCTTTCAAGATCTCAAAACGTCTGATGACAGTTTAATCAATCACCATTGTCAGTAACAACTGACCTTCTTTGTCTTCAATGTTACGCAGCTGGGCATGATTTGATACATCTGGTGCTCGTAACAATACTTTATGCTTTACATTACATTACTGAGTTGCATACGATACATCTTGGTCTATTACCTTCCCCTATATCTCTAGAAACAGCATAATGCCATCTTCCCTTTTATTATAAATAGAATTCTTTCTTCAATTTGTACTGTTAGAAACAAATTACTTCCTTGAATTAATAGTTTAACTATAAAAGAAATGAAATAAACTTCTAAGAGATGAGGTTGTCTGTCGAAAGAAATTTTTGGGATAACCTAATATTCATGCCTTTGTACAATCATTGATCAAATTATTAGGGATAGAGGAGCTGGTTTGCATAATATAGCCAAGATCAGGATTGTACAGTCTTGTATATGCAATATTTCCTGTATGCTTTTAGTACGGTCTTCTAGCTGTGAATCTTGAGGCAATCAAAGTATTACAGATCAACTACGTTACATGATTATTTTTAATATTGTCATTGGTCACATTGGTTCTTCAACGTTTGCAAAAACTATTGCAGAATAATCATGAAAAACATACACAAATGCATCCAGCCTAATGTAGTCATCACCTTCAAAGGAATCATACTAGATAATATATTCTTTTAAACTAAGCATAATGCCTGTTATTCTTCTGACTTCTTGGTATATACTGCTGTTATCTTTAAAATGTTAGTTGAACATATGCATTGTATCAAGATTCACATTGCTTTCTTAAAACAGAGGTTCTTTATACTACAGTGCCTCTAACAATTTGATCAGCAACTTTTGAACTTCCAGAGGTACTGAAATACATTACATACATTCTCAAATAAAAGTTGTACTATTTCTAGAGTTCTGTACATTGGTAGGAATAAATGTTTGAAAATCATTGCTTAATTTAAATTTTCTTTACAAGGAGGAAGGCAGCCGTGGTTACGATAATCCCGAGTCGGTGAAGTGGCCGAACAGACTGCACAGTACAAATGAAGAGAATAGCACAGCAGAGCACGAAGAGGAAGAGGAGAAAGCGATGTCGAAGCTGCCCAAGGATCCTACTCTGAGCGTCGGTGGGAAGATAAGTGGTTACTCTGTTGTTAAATCTCGAGGCAACGGTCACACTAAGGACAATACGGTCACGGAGGAGGACGAAGCCCTCGACAAAATGGTACCCACCGCGATCGAGCAAGAAAGATTCCGGCGGTCTCTAGAGAACGCAGCGTCTATGGTGTTTCATAGCAGAACCGGTCTGCCGTTGACTTCGAGTCCAGCTCCGTTGAGAAGAGGCAGCTGTTGCTTTGATTACGATAGCAGCTTAAATTCTGTTTCCTCTAAGAGAAGGTACACCAGATTTTTGATTCTCAGTTTAACGTTAGGGGTTGCTATCGAAGTTCTATCACTGAAATTTTGCCTTTATACGAAGTTAAACGTCTTGTTGCTCCTACGAATCGCAGGCTACGACCCTGATACAAACGTTAACTATAGTAGATGATTGATCATGGCATCAATTTGTACTGGCCGTTCGAAATCATCTAGAGCTTAACCTTGACATATAATTCTCTACATCTGTATATATTTAACTCAAAGGAAATGTAGCCAAACAAGTGTGGCTTAAGTATGACACCTATATTTAAACGTTTCAGAAACAAACGATCCAGGTGGATCAATGTCACGTTGAACTAGAACCTATTCCTTGACCCAATATGTAACACAAATATAAAATTAAATTACAAAATTCAGATTTTTATGTCTAGTTTAAATCCTCCCCATGAGAAACCTTGAAATTTCGCTCTAAATATTTTAAAATCATTAAAAAGTTTTATGCTATATCTGCAGGTAATCCTGCGCACACTTAGACTACGATTTTTCGGTTACATTCCCTTTGTACTGATTTATTATAAAATAAAATTGTAATAAAGTAAAATTGCTTGCTATTTCATTTGACTACTGGAGCAGCTAAATTCCATTTTCTATGATGGAATCAGAAAGCTTCCTATCTGATGGAGAAAATTTCTGTTGAAAGAACCTATGTAGAATGTTAGTTTATAATATATATCTTTGAGCAATATGCTAGGATGTATAAGGATTTCATATAAAGTCTTAACACTCGTTTTAGGTATCACGTTTTTATTATACACAAATCCTGAAGTAAGAAGGCTTTTAGACAGTGAGTGATTAAACAATCACTCTTACAATGGTACCTACATTATAACAACATAGAAAAATAAGACAATCCATTTGTGTTTTTATCTATCCTCAATAAAACTATGAAAGAAGTGCTCAGGTCTGGTATCAACCATAAAAAAAAACCGGGTTGTGTAAGCAACAAATATCTTAATTACACTTCAAATTTACTGTATACTTGTATCATACAGCGGTCAGAACTTCCACAGCAACCTAATCAAATTAAAACTCTGTAAAGGTCGTAAAGTCTCACCAAACAAGCTCTCCTTTTTCAGCGCGTTGTTCGAGTTGAACACTCCACCGAGTCCAGGTGCGGTGTCCTTAGAGGAAACCGACAGAGAGACTGAGAACGCAGGGGAAGGTGAAGAGACACCAAAGAGACGTGCCACATCCCGCAACAGGCCGCAGAGTCACGCGCTTCTGGGCAGCTTCGAGGAATCAGCTTTGAACGGCAGACTCGAACCCGTGTCCACGGTTCACGGTTTCACGGCTGAGCTCGGAGCGAGCGGTTCCTTCTGTCCGAAACATCGAAAGCTTCCGGTCACTGTGTTTTTCTACACGCTCGGTGACAATGACAAAGTTTCCACGCCCTATCTCGTACGTACTCGTATTCCTTTTTCTTTCTCATGTTTAAACAAATATTTATCCGTTAATGAATCGGCAATTTACCCTGTTCTCTGTTCACCTGATTACAAAGGAGAACAATTTTTGCGTTTAATTATCTTCTAGATCAGTGGTTCTCAACCTCTTGCCCGGGTATCGCGGAATTGCTATGGAATTAGGTCAAGTACCGCTTTGCACGTGATATCTAGCAATTTATTTAGACGTTTATGTCATTTGTGCACGAATAACGTGGTGTTTTATATGATAAACTTGAGAAAATTCTGAGGGTAGAGGGTAGAAATGAAAGAAAAATGGATAAATAAGTGAGGCACATTTCTTCATAGCTTGAGAATTCTAACTGTTTAGTAGAGGAAAGAGTTTTGTGTTCGAAAACACTAAAGAAAAATCTACGGTGCAGTTTTGTATAAATTAAACGATTACTAGCATTTCCAATCGTTTGCTTGACATTGGAAAAATATACAAGAAAGGGAAATGGATCCTGTATGAACTGACTATAAATAGAAATCAATGGTGGTCTTCGATAAGCGAAAAGCAAAGAAGGATTTCTGCATGAAATCAACACAGGAAACGATCAATGGATTTTTTATGATAATCCTAAACACAAGAAAGCATGGATACACCTTGATCAATCGATAATATAGAGTCTAAAATTTAATATCAACGCAAAAGAAGTGGGCCATGAAAGGCGTACATTATTATGAGCTACTCGGTTTAGGTGAAACAGTCACGGTAGATTGATATCAATGTCAATTGGTTAATTCAAGCAACGAATAAGGTGGAAAGAGAGCATTGCTGCATGACAATGCCCAGACACAGGTTACAGGTTTCGAAATTGTCACACTTTTATCATAATGGAATCTACATGCTGTCTAGAAGATGGGAAAATATTGTAGATGCAAAATAATACAATGACTAAACATATTTTAATTTTCATATGACAAACAAAATAAATGGAGGAATAAATGAGGACATACGATGAAATGAATAATGCACTTCCAAAGATGATTGTTGCACCCTCGTCATAAATATCAATTAAGAGCAGAAATACCATGAAGCAATTTACCTTATCATTGAGTTTGGTTGACGGAAGCACAGAACTCTTTCTTATATTCAATTCGTTTTTCTTATTAAATAAAAGACCATGTGTACCGTGGTGTTGAGAATTGCTGATCTAGACCATAACCGAAACATTGATCTGAACAAATCCTGTTACTTTTGCGTAGGCACATATTAATTTGGGCAAAAAGGGCTACCAAGTACCAAGAAGCGGTACTATTCAAGTAACGCTTCTCAATCCTTTGGGTACAGTCGTTAAGATGTTCGTAGTACTATACGATCTTTCTGATATGCCGCCACGATCTCATACTTTTTTACGTCAGAGAACACTGCGGGACAAAACGCTACGCTACCTCGTTCATCTTAGGTGCGTACTTCCTCTGTTTCCTCTAATAACGTCAAATTTTCTCCGTTTTGCGAACTTCGAAATTTTAATTGTCTCTGTTAAGGGAATAAGTTATCCCCTCGATGATTAAAATTTTAGAGTCTTCACCACCAGTGTTCCCACCAACAATCGTGGCTTTTTACTGTGGACCTTTACGAATTTGCTAATTACTATTTCAAAATAAGAAGTAACTAGTACCACAAAAAGCTATAAAGATTGTTCTTTGTCCAGCTTACAAAATAAAGTTGACGAGACATTTAAAAATGTATATGGAACTGAAGAGTGAAGAGTGTCATTGTTGTAATTGTACAATTTTGAACGTAGAGTGGGAAATTAATGTTCATTAATTAAAATTAAAGTCTCAGGAGTGTTGAGATAAATACAGAGTGGTTCTAAAGACGGTTTGAACTTTCACTTTTCGTTTACAAAAATATCTATTGTGGTATTTTTGTGTAAAAGTTTTACCTTGAACTTTTTTAAGTATGTTACCTATTAAACAGATATTTTAGAGCTCTTATAATAAAAATTCCATGGGAACAATTACTTCAGATCTTTTGTCAGAAGAAATTTCATAAAATATTATAATTATTATATATTGTAAGTAATAATTTTATTCGACAAACAATATCACATTATACAAAATATAATAACTAAGAATCAAAACATTTATAGCCAATCAAGAGTTTGAAAGTGAATCTATGTAAAAGTGATTCAGAACTTTTTTACTTTCTGAAGATGTCTATTTCTATCATCTAAGAACTTTCATTTTTATCTTTTATAAACCTTATTCGAATTAGAACTTTTCTTATCAAAGTTCCATTTCAATGGCTTGAAGAGAACTTAGGACTTCTGGGTAAAAATCGTTAATTATTCTCAACTATGGAGGAAGTAAAATGAAATTCTTAATACAAAAACATTCTGTGTTGAAAAGCCGATTAAAAGGTTACTCATTTAATTTTTGGTCATACATTTTGGTTATTTATTGGAAAGTTTGGCTACTAGCGGAATATCTTTGGTGTCAAAAATTTCTGTTCGTTAACCGTTGAGTGAAAACTAGGAACACAGAATTAGTAAACACAGAATCAATACAATATATTTATTATCAAGAAAAAGAACACAAAAGGAATAATCGATATGAAAAATAAAAGAAGCTTGGCACAACTGGTCTGTACAAAAGGTATAACCGAACTGAAATAAACATGCTGCAACGGTTTCAGTTGGTATATAAAATAGAATTACATTGGAACACAGTTGTCAACATTAACACTAAATGTACCAAGCAGATGAAACGTACCAAAATTTACTTTAATATTGTACACTCATTGCTATTTCTTTCGCTCATCTGACTTTCTCTTAATTCTTACATTATTTACAAAAATAAATATACATGTTTTTAATATTTTGTTGAAAATCAGAGGTTACGCTGCAAATTATTTCCTTTAATTAAGGATTTCTGCCTAAAAACCAACTGGTTTACTGGTAAGATAGGTCTACGTAATCTAAGATACATCAAATATTGATACATTTAGTGTTAAATCCAAGTTTCATCGAAGGGCAATCTCTTTAGTGTATCAAGTGGATCTTAGTAATCAGTTTTCATAGCGAATATATTTCCACAGTTAGAAGCCACGATTATTATTAGTTCCTCCTTTCTGTAACCTGTTTGCTACTTTACACCTTGTTCCTCATCCGTTTCCACAGCTGAATTGTGTAACTAACTCCACCCACGCGAGCTTTATTAACTTTCTTCGGTTCCTCTCGAAGCTACCAATTAATTTAGACAACGCATGAGCGGGTAGTTGGTACTTGTTACAATATTAAAGTTTCTTGTCTCCGTTTCAGATTTATGTCCGGCAAGTCTGGACGTATTTACTTGCATACGGACATCCGTATGATCATCTGCCGCAAGTCCGACGTCGACACGGCGTCGGATTTCGGTTCAGAGCCGCCGAAGGAACTAAGAAGCTACATCCACGGCCCCACCAATCCGAAATTTTCGCCAAGGTGCTGAGCCGCGTGGCTCTTTCCGTGGGGTTGCTGCCAATCTCTCCGCTCGCCTAGTCCCCTTCACGCAGAGGTTTGATCGAGACCAGTTTTTGGCACAGATTTCACAGGGAAACGTGTATCTGACAAGTACGAAGGCTCGTTTCGAAGAAAAAAGGCCGGTCGTCGACCACGGTTCACGAAGGAAACGGGCCCAGCAGCCTGGGGAAAGAGATGACTCATAAACACGAAATCCAGAAGCACCGAGAATTGACGAATTGCGACGAAATTAAACGATCGCGGTAAGGATTCTAATATCGGTAAACATTTGTCGATTGCTCTTTCCAAATGGACGTTCGTAGAAAATCGAAGGATTCGTTTAGGGAGCCATTTTGTCAAGTACCAGCAATACCATTTCTTCGCGAAAGAAGACGAGCACCGGAGACCCTCGACGGGCACATTTTGGAAGAGAAGCGTCCCGAAGAACTTGAGGGAATAGAACTGGGAATCCTTCAGAGTTCGAATTATTTTGGAAGAGAGTTTAAAAAAGGAGATCTGAATTTTCGGGGAGTAATTTCAGAGAAGTAATTTCAGAAGAGAAACGAGAAGGCTAAGGGGAACGTTGAGAGCCACTTGTCTCGCTCTTCGGCTTCCATTTATTTCTTCTTTTTGTTCTGTTTCTGCGGTCGTTTTATTTGTAACACATGAACGCACCCGCGCCGGCGTTGTTTGCTCGCGAGAGTTTCTTCCCTGTTAGTTTCGCCGTTTCTAGACGCTGAAATCGAAAATTTTTAGTTGAATTGTTCTCGCAGGAAATTGTTTTCTTCGCCTGAAAGTTACTTCGGACGCATACGATATTATTATTATTATATATCTATTATCTTTATCTATATACAATCAGTATAAACAGTATTCGTACAGCAACCAATTAAAAATAAATGGTTCCTGTACGAATATTTATTACACTGACTGTATATATTTATATATTAGAAGGACCAGAAAGTAATGTCGTTTCTTTTACATTAAATTCAAACAAATAAATTTATAATATGTTTTTACTTTTAATCAATTATATAATTGTCCTCGTTATCAATAACCTTCTGTCATCTAGTGTGCAAATTTTCAATACCTGATTGATAAAGATTGATTGGTACATGGTGAGACTGGTAAATAATAAACAAGTAGTTGCATTCGTTGAAACAACATTACTTTCTGGTCCCCCTAATATATATGGACGAATAGGCGTCTGATTTATTGTCTTTCGAATATTGGAATTATATATTTCTTGTCGCTCAGGGCTCGTCGATTCATCCGCGAGCCGGAAGATCTCCTTGGAAGGCCATCTTCTCGATTTATTGTTGTAAATATAAGTCACGTGTAAAGTGAGGTAAGAATTTTTTAAACAGGATGATGATGTCGCGCGCGCGCGCGCGTGTGTGTGTGTGTGTGTAGCACTGTACGTCAAAAAAAAAAAGGAAAAAAGAAAAAGAGAAAACAGAAAATCGCGATGAAAAATAAATTTAGTGATACGAGCATTGAAAACGTCAAGAATCGGGTCTCTCGTTGACATTGGAATGACACTCTCGAACTATTGTACAAAACAAAAACAAAAAAAAAAGAAAGGAACGAGAAACATGTGATCTAGAAATCGTTTAAAAGTGTAATTTAAATAGATGCCATTTATCGATTCGTTGATATTTTCAGAAGATAAAGCGAAAGACGATCAAAGACGTCGTTTATTTTATTAAAAAAAAAAAAAGAAGATGTACGAGAAAACGATGGAGAATCGAACAACTGCTTTTCGCGTTCGAACGTACAGTTTGCGAATCAACGAGTGGCTGGATTATGCGACTTTTCCTCCACCGACGATGAAATAAAGGGAAAAAAAAATACAGAAGAAAAATCATTATTTACACGTATAAACAGAACACAATTTTGTGTCCGTAGCACTGTGATGAATATTTTGATAGACTATAAAGAGTAATTATTATAAAATATCTATTTGAGTAGTGAATATGTCCTAGGTTTTAATGAATTAATAATTGTACTAATGTCGTACGAGGAATGTAATCGAGCGTAATTACTAACCGTATAAAAAGAATTATACACACATCTTTCGCAGACACCACAAGGGCGCTCATTAACCGTCTCCGTATCGAACAAACGGTTCGTTTCCTTTATTTTTCTACGAGTTTCGCGTTAACTTCACACGAAACCGAAGCGTTTCAGAGATCTCAAGTTCGAAGCGAAACTCTTTTCTAAGCGTATTTGCGCGATGAACGCTCGAATTTCGCCTGAATCTTGTCAAGAAGAAACGAACAATTAGACCATGTTGTCTTTCGAAAAGATTCTCTGTCAAATTCACAGAGAAAATTTAACGGAATTATCACACTGTTATTTCATGAAGAATACTTGTAACTGTGACTGTGTCCAGCTATTCATCGTCTAGCTGAAACGTTGATCAATTTATAAATAATGAGAATGTTAAAAAACATCAAGCAGGTTTATGACACTGCGTTTCGTCGTCCAAACAGCTAGTTTGTCTGGAAATAAATTTAGCCTTTTCGTTGGTGAATTGGAGGTGGTAGTAAGGAAAACTGAATTTATCTTTCAATAATCATGATCATAAATACACGTCGACGTTGAATAAGGAAACGAAATATATCTTACAGAAATTGTCTGCAACAGGCAAACTGTTTACATTCTCGATATTGTTTTCTTTAATTTGAATATTTCAGCATACACGCACGAATTTTATTTTATCTCTGGGCCTGCTCCATGTTTTTGAACACAGAAATAATTTCTATATTGAGAGATAAAATAAAATTCGTATGCTCAAATATTCAAATTAAAGAAAACATGGAGAATGTAAACTTCCTGCCTGTTGTAGACAATTTTTGTAAGATATATTCAGTTTCCTTATTCAACGTCGACGTGTATTTATGATCATGGTCATTGAAAGATAAATTCAGCATAGACGTTTTCTTTACTACTGATAAATTTACCAGCGAAAAGGGTACATTTATTTTTGGACAAACTAGCTATTTGGACGACGAAACGCAGTGTCATAAACCTGGGCCTGCTCCATATTCTTAAATACAGAAATAATTTCTGTATTGAGAGATAAAATAAAATTCGTGCGTGTATGCTCAAATATTCAAATTAAAGAAAACATGGAGAATGTAAACTTCCTGTCTGTTATAGACAACTTTTGTAAGATATATTCAGTTTCCTTATTCAACGTCGACGTGTATTTATGATCATGGTCATTGAAAGATAAATTCAGCATAGAATTTATCTTAATGTTTTCCTTATTACCAACTAATTCACCAGCGAAAAAGCTAAAATTAATTTCCAAGCAAACTAGCTGTTTCCACGACGAACCGATTAAAGATTCAGGTGATGTTGCGAGCGTTCGGTGTAGCTCGCGATCAAGTAAGGCGAGTACGAGTCGTTGGTTGGAGAGGATGGAGACGCGTAGACGTTAAGAGCGCGATTTTGTGATCTGTAAATGGATATTTGTCTTTCTAAAGAGATACGACGAAAAACGTTAACGAAGCATGACAAGAGTTGCATAGGTAGGCCGACGAGCACGTTACTCTGACTTGCGCCGATAGTTGTTTCGTCTGGCTCCAGGCGAGCGTACACGGGTCGACGAGATGAACTTGCGAACGAGCGACATCGACAGCGGAAGCGGTCGTTCGTAGGCACAAATTAAAAGCAGCTCCAACGTTGCGGACAAAATTTTTTGTAGCATGTGTATTGTACGGCAAGGAATAGTAGAAGTGTGTAATCACTGCCATGCTGTATATACATGATAGCATAGGTCAAACCGTTGAATAACAACTTAAGGGAATCTTAGCAATAGATTTTTCGCCTGATCGAGGTATTCCCATTGACCAGAAACAGGAAGCTAAAAGGCGGAGTCCGTTGAAAAATTTCTTAAATCGTGATTCTTGCTGTTCTTTCGGATCTAGGGCCGATGGATCTTTCTTTATTACATTTAGTTTCTTCCGTTGGTATCGATAGTTGAATGTTATCCTAACGTTTGCCCGGAGAGCTTTGAAATTAACCATGCAGATACGTGGTACGATTAACAGGGAATGTGCACATTACCATGTGCGCCAGCGTTTCCCAAATTTACGATTCCTTTGTTGCCCTCTTGTATATAATTTATAATGTTGTTAAATTAAGCTCGTTGGACTCTACAGAGCGTCAGCAAATACAAATTTTTATTTTCTAAGTTTCCCTTCATAATCTTTGAGTCCACAACATGAATCAAATTATGAGGTTCGGGTACCGTATTCTTGTCCGATAATTAAATAAACACACCGCTTATGCGTAGAATAAATGTTTCCAAAGTCAAGTTATAGTGTCGTAAATGAAAGACTTTTCTATATTTTCTTTCGTTGCTGTTTGATTTTTTAATAAACCTACGAATAACAGCGCTCCAATGCATTTTCTTTTAGACAATAAAATTCACAAATTCACAATGTACGTATTCAGGAAATATTAATTTCAGTCGAGAGCAAAACCTGTTCCCTGAATTATTGTATATAGAACGGCGCAACTGTGATTTAAAAAAAAAATGAGAATGCATTGCATTAGACTCATCAATTTTTAAGAAATTGATTAGCCTGTGTCTAAAATTGTAACTATAAGAATATGGCGTACGCTGCGAACACACCAAATTTATTTATTTCGTTCATTTAACTACTGATCGCATAGTTTGGGAAACGTTGACGTATACTCGCTGTGAATTCTTGATGGCATTTTGTCTCAGATTAAACGATAAACGTCGCTTGGTAGCTGTGAAATCTCCACGACGCGTGAAATCTAATTTTCACACGACGAGAAAGAAAACTGAAAGACCGAACAGTGAGAGAACATTTTGTGCAATTTAATTAGCGTACATTTGGAAATTTACGCGTACGCGAGAGAAAACTAAGAACGATATCCTATTTTGGAATCCTGCTATCGGGAAACGACTTGTACCACAAAACGTAGATCGCGCACTCAGAACTTTATTATTATTATTATTATTATTATTATTATTATTATTGTGATAAACTTTTACCGGGATAGAAGTCCGCAATCAAACCGGAAGTCGAATGTGTATTCCCTTTCGAAAAAGGGAGTACGAATTGATTCGACCGGTGCCAAAACTCGAGAATGAAAGGAAAAGGGCTTTTTTGACGAGGCTCGACGGACAAAAACGTTTCGAATTCGTTTCAAGCGCAGCTTCGCTATTTCTTTTTAAACGATTTTATTCCGTGGGCTTTTAATAGTTTTATAATCCGTAAACTGCTTCCCCTTCCTGGGTTCTTTGTTGCGATTCTCGATTCCATTTTACCGACGCGCGATTATTTATTCGACAGCGTTTTTAAACAGCGAAAACAATTGTCCGTTGAACGATTATAATTTCTTGTGTCATCTGCTCTCAAACTTTTATTTTCGAATCGACGAATCGACGGCAACCTACAGTGGGTGTAAAAAGTATTCATACACCGATCAATTTTAAAAAAAAACTGTGTAAAATTGTAATTTATTAACTTATTTTTTATAAACGATATTCTACATATTCTCGGAAATGTCTAAAATAGATAGATTACAAAAAAAATAGCTATTTATGTAAGTTGCGAAATTAACAAGAAAAAAGTAATTAATCGATAGAAATGTTGAAGCAATAAGTATTCAAACAACTGTTCAAAAGTACTTTACTGGAAATTTTATGTTTTCTAATTCCCACGGAGGAATAAACTAATGTGTTTACGTTACAAACTCTCCTGTAAATGGTTCGTCATAAGTAGACTGCGGATCTTTATGCAAAATAAAATCTTGGCGAACGTACATACAAAAATTGAACCTAAATAGGAATTTATTTTATTCTGCAAATATTATAATATGAACGTTACTTTGTATCTTTTTTATATTCTTGCATATTGTAGGTTCTTGGATATTCAAATTTCCTATAAATGCATAAAGATCCGCAGCTTAGTCATAAGAATCGTCCAAATACTTAATGCTTCTATACTTTCACCCACTTTTCACATCTTTTTGTTAATTACACAAATTATTAGGTTGTCCAGAAAGTTCGTGCCAATTTTTAAGAAAACTTTAAAGGCAGATTTGAATTGTAATATACATTTATTTATATGTATATTTATTGAATTACATAGGTATTATTTTGTTCCACAACCTTTCCACCTTTTAAGGGATGTACATATATATGTTATTTGTTTTCAGCCATTTCGATATATTCAGACCTGCACCACCTATCAAAAATCAGCATGGACTTTCCGGACAACCCAATATATTAACTAGTAAATGTTGTTTGGACTATATCTATCTTAGAGACTTCCGAGAATATGTAAAATATCATTGATTACAAGAACAGAAGTTAAGAAACTACAATTTCACACAAAAGTTTTTTGGGGAATTGATCGGTGTACGAATACATTCTACACTCACTATAATTTTGTAAATTATCAGCCGATCGGTTAGTCACGAGAATCGCGAAGGTGATTTTTACGTTGTCAGCCGATCGACGGGTATATTTGATTATCACTTGTCAGTGCTAGTTATTAGAACGTTTTGTTGAGTCACCTGGTCATATTGATACTGATTGATACGAACGCCAGGCATGTACATAGGGTAGCGTTATTTTATAAACGAAAATTATTGTTATTGCTTAGACGTACTTTTTATTATTCAGCAAACGAAGCGTGCGATAAGAGAGGAAGAAACATTTGTGTCGAGTGATTCACTTATGGTACGCATGGCCAAACGTAATAAAAGTACAGCAATGCATTACAAACGTCACTGTGTGAGTATGATTATTCGATAGACATACTTTTAATTCTGTCGAAGCCTTTGACCTGATACTAAATCAATCCTGTTTAACCTACATTATTCATTTACTTATTTATTTCTTTGCTAGTTTCCTACTTTGAATACGTTCTATGTTACTACTAGCGATTGAACATTTATTATTAAACGTTGTAATGTTCTCCATTTTGTTGTAACTGCTTTTCAGATATTTTATAAATAAATTTCATATCATTTTTGTAGATAAGTTTCATGAGAAGAGCTCTCTTAGAATTTTTATCAAAAAAAGTTTCATCGAATACATGAAACTCCATATGTATAATATGTTACAGGTAATAGTTTTATAAATATTATTTTTTAATTGAAATGAATCTAAGTGTTTCAGAACTTTTTTGCTAGCAATGAAGAAAATATCTATTCCTATTTCTCATAAGTTTTATTCAAATTATATATGGTTTTCATTTTCAAGAGCATTTATTTAATTGTTCAATTTAGACTTATAAAATGAGCACTTAAGAGTTCTGTTGTTTCAATGGAACACACAATAGTAAATTAGTAGACCATTTTTGATTCAGAATAAATCAGAAACGAAGAATTTCCTTCTGTTTTATATTAAATCCGATGATTTGATAAACAAAGAAGACAAACAAAGAAGAGATGCAATTTTACATGAGTAATACAAGAAATGATGACAGAAATTTTGGATACTCTGAACATAGGAGACAAGGATTTCCTTCTGTTTTATATTAAACCAGATGATTTGATAAACAAAGAAGAGATACGATCAATTTTACATGAGTAATACAAGAAATGAAGACAGAAATTTTGGATACTCTGAACATAGGAGACAAGGTAGGTGGAAGAACAGAATCTATACAAACTGGATAAGTAAAATAAATATGTTTAACCACAATGAACATGAAAAAGCTATTCTTCAGCTGTTCGCAGTTTTGAATGCTATGATTTATGGGAATCATCGTTAGACAGTAAACATGTTTGTACTGCAGTAACATTTAAAGTAATTATAAGCATTTAAACTTAAGATGAGAACAGACTACCCAATAAATATGAAGAAACAGGTTTATACGAACTCTCTGTAGGCAAGTTATTACATAATATATTTATTAACAATTGTCTTATAAGAGTTCGCTGGTGTTACGCCTCGAATATCTCTAGGGTCTGTAATTACAGCTAAAAGTTATTTATCGCCTATACAGATAATGTTCTGATTGCTCTAAAAATCTAAGATTATATACACGGGGAACGTATAGAATACATTCGCGGCTGATAAATTCTTCTTGATACGAATTTTGTACAGAACTCACAAAATTATGCAAAATCTTCGCGTCGTTAACGCTGTGCATATTTTCCCTTTTCTTCCAATATACTACTTAAATTTAGAGACTTAAAAAAATAATTTATCATTCTAAGGTATATACATCTTGCGAATATCCCGTTCGAATAAACAGTATAGTCATTTTCGTTTCGAACTTGAAAAGAGAGATGGGACAAATTCTATTCGAATAACGGATAACGAATACAAAAAATATAAATCTCCTGTTGGAAATGGTGATTGAACAGATGTACGATACTCTTTGAAATCATGACATCCTCCTGGCAAATGCATGTAAATACCTTAGAATATAAACGGATTCATACGAAAGTATCTATTTATGTGTTTCCGCGTGTAAAAGAATCGATCGCTTCGAACTTTCTTTCCATTTAGTCTTATAAAAGTTGTTTCATTTGAAAATTAGGGACTTCGGTAATGATCCTTTCCATCCATTTACGGTATACAGAGCAGGATATGATTCTACATTAAAAAATAAGACAATTTAGTTGTAGAGACATTTAGGAAAGTCAATTTATGATACGTGGATTTAAGTATATAGTTTAAAAACCGACATTATTTTCCTATCAACCTAAAGTCACTTTTGTTGCAAATCAAATTCTCCGGACATATTACATATTTTACATTACATTTTACATTATGTTGTTAATGTTTACAAACATTAGCTCAGACAGAGACAACCGGTGGTAGAATACAGAATAATCAAATCGTATTCAATCGTTTAGATAGATGAGCAATCGACGAAAAAGTGTTTTATACTAAATTTTTGTCTTATTTTCTCACATAGAATTACACCCTGGCAGATATACTACGAATTCCACTTCACCCTGTATACAATATCCTCCAAGAGAGGCAAAGAGTATTACTGATAAAATTTTGGCAGGCTTGTGCACGGGTGGGATTCATGTGGGAAGCATCTGCGTCACTGTAGGACACACATGCTAATGGAAAAAGTGAGGAAACCTTTTGGGCTTGTGAACAGGACTGCTAATATTGGGTTGATGCATAATTATCCGGCGTATTTTTTTCTCTATTCTTCTGTCATTTTAATATTACTCTTTCTTGACATAGAATTTTTTCAGGAGACGTATGCAAAAAAGTTCTGAGCTATGGATTTTGTATAAATGAAACTATTATTAAATTTCAGTTTACTTTATCGCCTTTCTTCGGTTGTAAAGTGTCAGCATTTGGCTGTTTAAAATGTTATGCAATTGATCACCTGCTGTACGAGTGAAGAAGATTTGAGGTACAAAGAAGGAAGTACAATTTGAACCCAGAAACATGTACAAAACACCATCAATTATGTCAAGGACACTAAACTCTGCTAAACTATACTAAGCTATAGTATATAGTACCACTGATTAGTGATGCTTAGTAGTGGTTGATTAATTATAAATCCAGTTACATCTATTGGTAATTACCAAGCAGTAAGTACAACGAAAAATAAAATGTTACGCTGTTTGGCATTTGGTGCCTGTATCTAAAAAATAAGTAATGTATACGATGGTAGTAACGAAAGGGAACAATTAGTTAAAGTCAATGTAAAGAATAGTTTGCTCACTTCAAGTCTGGTGATAAGAGCTTGAAGGATACGCCAAGAAGAGGTTGACCATCAGATTCAGATGACCAAGCTCTAGTGCCTGCGAAAGAGGACAAAAGTATGACATACCATTTGTATGAACTTGTGACTCAAACTTGTTGTCAAAGCGCAGATAACCTCGGAGAACCAGTACTTTTTTGCCTGTGAAATCAGTGGGAGTTCTTGAAGTAAATAAACAATACTCTTTAGAGCAGTCATTCTCACATATTCTAATAATATCTTTAAAAACGTCGTACAATTATGCATCCACCTAATAGTATTGTTTACTATTTGACTCGCATTTCGCCGTTTCTATAGCTCTCGCACGGAAGTAATCAATTAAACCGACATCTGTTTTTTACATCGTCACAGGTAACGGACGCGTGTTGGCGCTGTACATACATAAACACGTTTACAATTTGTCTAGCTAATCAATTAAAATCGAGTGTTAAATCACAGTTTGTTATTCGTGTGCAATTCGCTTTAGAAGAAAAGTTAAACTTTGACTCAGGGGCCCATTTTATTTTTGTTAAAACCTATCAAATGAAAACTAATCAAAAAATGAAGACTTTCTTTATGTACTCGTATCTTTTAAAATATTGGTTTTCTAAACTTTTAACTTGCATTTTCGGACTTTTCAGGTCAACAATTACAAGATCTGATAAGTTTTAACAAAAATAAAAATGGGCCCTGAGACAAAGTTCAGCCAATTAAAAATTAAAATGCTGACTTAATAAACGCAAAACGTGAACACAATCACGCATGTATAGTATTAAACAAAGAAAACGATCTCTTTTTACAAAACGTCCAAAGAAAGTGTCGAACATTGTTTTTTATTTTTAAAATGCTTACTTAAAAACACAAAGTATCGAACATTGTTTTTTATTTTTAAAATGCTTACTTAGAAACACTCGGGCCTAAACCATTTGAATCTATTAAATCTATACCAGTCAACGCTAATAATTTAATACCTATCACGACATGACAGTCAAGCGCAAACATAACAAGTCAACAATCTGAAATAGTCTAAGTGTTGAATTCGCTACGTTATTGAGGTGTCTCATAAAATATTGCATGTTATTTGGGTCGATACATTGTTGAGAAATTCAATTTATGGTCATTACAAAAATATATTTCATGTTTCTGTTTTCATTGTTCATCATGTTTATGTCTAGAACGATTTACTCAACAAACATGTTTTATACTTTTCCGTTTGAATATTTTTTGATGAAAAATTTATGAAATATTGTTCAAATGTTACTCTTCGAACAACATAAGTTAAAATAATATAATTCATTCAATTTGTTTGAAAAAATTTATAGAAAATGTGCTTTCCCCTTCACTATGTTTTCTTAGATTAAACTTCCTCTTATACTAAAAAGTCCTTTCATAAAACAAATTAATAAGTTTTGCTTATACCTGATTCAGACTTGAACACAGTTTCCGCACCAGAGGAAATGGAACAACTATGATTTCATCAAAGTTAGATGTGCGTAGTTTTGTGCCATTAAAAAAACTAGAATGATGTTGAAGAGAAATACAAATAATCTTAGACCGAATACAGATCATTGATCATTATGTTCGAATCAATGTTTTGTTGTAGTTGACAGTTAGTTGACAGTTATAGGTATTAGCTATAAGTACTAATTCGTTACCCAATACAATATAATATTTAGATTTATTGTTTCTATACTTTTCAACATAATTTACAGTCAATGTAAGAAGTATTCGTACAGCAATCCATTTAAAATAAATAGTACTAATCTTGTACTAATACTTATTACACTGACTGTATACGTAAAATAGTAAAATAGTTGCGATAAAATTAAGCCAAGTTAACGAGAAAGTAGGATCAAATAAGCTGCAAGGAATATAGAGGCCTCAGAAGTCGTCGTAGGGTTTAGAGATACGTGCAATATTTTCTGGAACACCTTAATATCCCAAAACCTTCATTGTTGCGTCGACGACGCGGCGACGTTCAGGTCAACGAGGAAAATAGGACGCCGTTAATTTGGGTTCGGATTTTCGATTACCGTGTGATATGTAGTGTCATACTTGCGAGCAACGATTCAGCTCTCAGCCACCATCACGGTCAGTCGTCTACGATCCTCTCGTGAAAAAATGCGAATTCGATTACGGAGGTTTCGATCGCAGATCGGCTCCTGTTCCTTTCAATTTTACCACGCAGAAGTCGTGTGAGATTTTTTTCTCGAGCCACCTGAAGCAAAGAAGTTGTCCTGATTAGCAGTCTGAAATTCCCTTGTTTCGTTCATTTTTACTAAGCTATGAAGAGGTCAAATTTGTTTGTACATAGTAAATCATGGCTCTGGTATGGGTAATCTGTGGAACTATTGAAGCGGTTCTAAAATTTTGTTCAATAATAAAAAGCTGCACCCTCCCTTAAGGTCAAGTTCATCGAATCACAGATTCTAGTATAATACTTGTAATACATTTTTATTAACCCTTTGCACTCGAGGCCTTCTTTTCTGGTATCTATCAGCAACTCGAGATGCTTTCTTAGCATTCTATTATCACGAATGCTAAGCTCAGATTGACTTTGAAAATGAGATTTCTAATTTGAGATTTGAAAATCAACAATCATTTTATTGACACTTCAAGTCTGAGAGTCACATCTTGAGTGCAAAGGGTTAATAACTTTTTAATAAAAAGCGAGCGACGGTTAAAACCTCATGGATGTTACTCAGGAGGGTGCCCTTGACAACATATGTCAAGGTTAAGGAGATCATAGGAGATGCCTCCCCTAAACTGAATATTTACCAAAAAAATGTTTCTGTAATTTCAATCACGTATACGAACACGTATAAAATTCTAAATAATTCCATTGATTCGTTTGTTCATAATAAATTCGCGAATAAGGCCTTATTTTTCACACTGTGGGACGCATCGAATTTCTATAAGCAGTGAATAACATTTCAAAGTAACGAAAATAACGAAGGCTACTTACTTCCCCTTTCTTTGATCTACAGAGATGAAATTTCGCTAGCAATACCTAGCTTCTTTTTCCTCCTTTTCCTCCTTTCGTGGATGCTTATGCCCCTGTTCTTGGCTCATACGTAATTGTCTTGTCGCCATTCCACCGCCACACTGACTACTCCAATCAGTGGTGGACACCGCAGTCCGATAAAATTTCGACGAAGTCTTATTGAAGATCGGTAGCAGCTCGTTGGCTTCATTGGACAAAGCCTGTCGGGTGGAAAATTTTGTGTAAATTAGGGGTGGAAATTTTGGCACAATTACAAATAAAACAAAAGAAGGTTTAGAGTTCTTTGAGCCCTCACACAATTGAAAATTGTGTGTTCATGCGTACACAAATCCATTGGTTAAATGTTAAATGGTTAAATGTTTTGTGTCAATGATTTTACACAATCGAGTGTAAGCTTAATTAAAGTCGAATGTGTTATCTGATCTCAACAAACGTTTTCTGTTAAAATAGTAAAAATTATAACTACAACACATTTTTAACGTTATCTGAAAATTAATACAACATAACAGTTGACTAAATTCTTACACAGTATATCGCATAAGAAACAGTTAGACTTGTACCCTATTAGTTAAACAAATTAGTTAAACTTAGACACAAAAATATTTAAAGTTACCAACGTACTCAACATAGAGTTTGTATTATCAGTTGACATAACTATGATATGTTATATTAATGCTAAAGTATTGGTAGACCATTTGGGACATGTGATTTGTGTTGAATTTAACACAAAATTTTCAACAGTGTATATATAGAAGTCACTCACTGACAGTGCTCTGAAGAAAGGGGAAATGCATCCATTGGGTTACATAAGCGCGCGCTATCCAACTTTTATCTTCGTGTTGTCTGTTCTAAATTCTTATCAATGTTCTATTCTTAAATATTGATAAAATAATGTTTGATACTATCTCTGTTATTTTTACTTTAGCGTGTGTGTAGCATCTCGGGATTTAAACTGTTTTATTTACAGTGTGTCACGGTCAGAGAAGTTGTAAACACATTGCTGTACAGCAAAGTTGACAGTGATTACTAGATTGCGGATATATGCGATACAAATTCATATTTTTACAAATACAGAAAAAAGATATAAATATAAGTATCAGGTCATCCTATAAGTTCATGCTGGAGACTGTGTCAATATTTAACAAAAAACTACAAAAATGTTACAGTAATGGTACAATGACTATTTTAGGAAGGTGAGAAAATATTGTAAAATCAGAGAGAAGTAACCTTTTTTTATAACACTTAAGAGTATGTTTCACATATTAATTTGAATAGCAGAAGTATAAATAGTATGAACTTTTAGGACGACCTAATATTAATGTTTATTAAAACATGTGCATTAATGTTGGTATTTTATACCATTTTGCATTTATGCACATTCTTATCAATTTCTCCATATTTTCATTTGTTATAAATGCATAAACATTCGCAATCTAGCGATTACTTTATCATCATTTTTGATAATCACTCATGAATGTCAAACTAGTTGTCATAATTTTAATTGTAATCTGCATGTTTAAATTAGTAGTTTGTAATCTTTGGGTGTTAATCATCTTGGGCCTTCATTGATTACGTAAGCATCCCAAGGGGGAGGAAGTGTTTTATCTTACTATGAGTCGAAATTCGCCTGGGAGCTAAAGGGAGTGACTGGGAGTGATTGATTTGTTTCCTTACTTTAAGAATTATTCTTTTTTTAAATAAAAATCTTCGATCTATATCAAATAATGTGTTTGACTGTAACTGAATCTTTTCTAACGTAGTGTACATTATGGATTACATTTTGAAGTGAAAGGAAAAGTATTATGGACATTCTGCTGTTTGGTGTGACTTGTACCTTGGAAAATGCTGTACAACTGTAACTGTGTATTTGTTAAATGGAAAATAGGATACGTACCTTGAGGTATATGATAGCGTCTGTACCATAACCATCGCAGCTTTGAAGGACAAGATCGCCGTGGAAGTATCTGGCATATAGTCGCGATACTGGAAGACCGTAACCGTATCCAGCGAGTGGAACGTTGTGAGGGTCGGTTATGCTTGGCCGAGGCGCTGTACTGTACATATACTTAAACAAATGGTCCATTTGGGAACGTGGAATGCCACCACCTCGATCAGACATCTGCAACAATTATTTCAATCAATACTCTTTGATTTCAATCATGACATTTAAATAAGAATAAAATTTAAGGATATTTAGTAGAATATTAAGTATTAAGAATATTTAATATTAATATTATTATAATTATATAATTATATTATTAAGAATATTTAGTAGAATATTTAAGCATATTTAAAATTTAAGGATATTTAATAATATTTAATAATAAAAGGAGGTTCCGAGCATTTATTAAAATTATGAATCTTTATTGTTCGGAACAGAAATTTACAAAAGATTAGTGGGGGGTTCTAATTCAACTGGTTTAAAAAAAAAAAGAACAATTTTTAAACATTTGTATTTTTAGAATCCATAATTCCTAATTCATAGAATGCCAGGGAATGCTCGTACAGAAATTGATCTGGTAATTCATGTTTGTAGCCTACTGAGAATTTGTTATAAAGATTGTTTTTGACTCAAATGCGAGCCTTTCTCAATAAATATTAATCTATTATATGTTAAATAGGAGGAGGAGCAAAAACAAATTAAGAAACATAAAATAAGTAGTCCTCTACCGACATGCACTTATTTCTTTCTTTCTTTAACGAAAAAAACTTAACTCATCCTCAGATTGAAAATGTTTTTTGAAACAAATATTGAATAAGTTATAAATATAAATTATGCGTCTCTCGAATACTCTACCTTTACACAAATGTCTTCTTTACCACGCGACACTATCACCTCTATCGGTGGATAGTCCTCGTCAGAGCTATGATGTTCCATGACTGCTCGCATACTGTTCTTGAACAGCTCGAACAACATGTGGAACAAATGGCTCGGTACGTAAACTATCCTAATATGGCTACACCGTTCAAGCTCTGAAACAAAGGTAATACATAACGATGAAACTCCTGTAACTGATATATTATTATTGTTGTGCTGTTATTGTTAATATTACTGTATTTCATTATACAGGATGATTCTTATAAGGTGACCGATTATCTGTGAAATTTGAAGACGTATTGAAAAATTGTTCAGAGTATTCCACGTTCATAGTTTTCTATGTACAGTGCCACTCAAATTTTTGAACGACCTTAGATCTTTCAAAAATAAAACTGTTTTGTACCTACTAGTTTCATTAACAATTTTATTGTTTCGCATTAAAAGATTAAAAGATGCATTATTCAAGTATGACAAATATTGGGTGTGTTAAGAGAGAAAACTTGTGTCTCTTTAGCAAATACAGCATGTCCCAGAATTAGTGTAAGAGCTGAAAATGGGAAAGTGGTTCAGAATCGTCTCAGCTACCCCCATTTCTAGCTCTCACACTAATTCTGGAACACCTGTATATTCCAATTAAGACAATGTCCATATACTTGTGAACGGGGTAGTGTGTACATATTGCATGTAATAAATGCATAAGATCCACAGTCTAACGATAAGATATCCAAATTTCATATCTTATATTCTTTTAACATGTGGATACGTCTCAGACAGTTACCAATATGCACTCAATATTTCTTTCTTTCCAGCTACAAGTCTTAGCATGTTGACTGCTTGTTTATTATTTCAAATTGCACAATTTTTTACAAGATGTGTTCATATGCTTTCTTATACAAATACTATGTATTGCTTTCTTTATATGGTAAATATTCCCACATTTTTTTTCTATGAAACACCGGCTCATATATATTTGTATACATACAGTCAGTGTAATAAGTATTCGTACAGGAACCATTTATTTTAAATTAGTTGCTGTACGAATACTTCTTACACTGACTGTAAACAGACTGTAAGAAGTATTCGTACAGCAACTAATTAAAAACAAATGGTTCCTGTATGAGTACTTCTTACACTGACTGTGGATCTCACAATCAGTATATGTATGGATACCATATCTTCATTTGCTTACGTAAATTATTCGTGTACCATTAAATCATTAATATATTTTGCTACACATGTGCAAATTGAGTGTAAACGGTTAATGTATCAGGTTTATGCATAATTATCCGAAATTCTTACCGTATCGTTCTCATTTGAAATTAACGTTGCTTTTTATCAAGACAGAATATTTTCAGAAGATAATTCGTCATCATGTGTGTCGTTAATCTTACTCATTTGCGTTGTATTATGCTCTACCACGTCAAGAATGGGTAGACGGATGATTCTTATATCGTCATTTCGTGATCTGAACTTTAATTTACAAAATTTTGACTTTAATGTACAAAAAAATTCATTTGTACTTTTTTGATAAAACTGATAGTTTTGCTGTAATACTCAAAAATAGGTCACTTCATAGATAACTCAACATTTGAGCGACTATAACTTTGATACAGTTGCCTTTATGGAATTTCGACAAGAGATCTTTTTTGTAGAGCATTTAATTCCCTACAGAAGCATGTGTGTAGATTTTCTGTACAACGTATTGTTAGCCAATTATGAAAATCAGAAGAAGCAAAAGAAAACGTTTCCTAAGTTATCCTTATGGAAAATAGAAAAGTGTTACGCGGAACCTTTTAATATTAATATTAAGAGGCCAAATTTTAATGGGCGTATTCTTATATCTAAATAAAACTTTTGAATCCTGTTTTGTAGAAAATTTTTTTTTCATAATACCATAATCTTTAATACTACACCTACCGAGGTTTCATTTGTACTTATTTCTACTTCTTTTTCAATTCAATGCAAAAATATTTCAAGAGATGCTAAATTGAATAATGCAACGAAACGATTGCATATATAATTTATATATTGCATATGAGAATTAATACGTCGTGATAGGTTTAATGTTACAATATAAATATTGGCTTCGAAAATCTCCGGATAATTATACATCAACCTATAAGTTGGCTTCTAAGATGTTACAAACTTCCAAACGACAGTGTAAAGATTTTTCTTTCAATTCGTGGAGTTACATAATTACACGATAGCCAATATATATCGCTATATTCACTATACCTACTACAAAAAAATTGTTTATGTTATGCTACTTACTAGGAATACATATAGTATCAACATTTTTCAAACTTGCCGTTATGTTGCTTGACTATCAGTTCCGGGCTAGCCAGATAATATTGATCGCACAACAACCTCGCTTTCTCGTAAGCGTCTTTCACGACGCTGATAACGTCACACGACGGATCTATGGATCCTACGTGTCTGCTGTGCTCGTTTAGTTCGCTGCCAAACAACAATGCTGCAACAAAGAAACGTTTCTTTGAAAAAACCGACGCTAAGCCATAAAGTATTCGCTTTTGATTCGCGACGACGCTCTTAATCTCATCGACGACTACAAAACAAAGTTATTTTCACTTGAAAAAATAAAAACACTTGTTTTTCTTCACTGTTGTGTACTTATTGATAACGGTGTTTAATTTCCTAATCTCGCCGATGGCAATGAAACAAAGTTATTTTTCATCGAGAAATAAACAACCTGTTTCTTTACTCTGTTAGATATTTTTCAATAACGGTGAATTTATAGCTTAAAGCATTTATAGAAGTATTTATAGAACATTCGAATGTGCGAGAAAGTACAAAATGGACGCAATATGCAAGAATATAAAAACTTGAAAGTATGTTTGTACTATAATATTTGCAGATTAATTTCTTGCAGTTCGATATCGAGAGAGGCTCGACATAAACGTATTGAAATCGGAAAATTCCAACTGTAAAGAGTTAAAATAAATTCCTATTGCGATTGCAAAGATTCTATTTTGCATAAAAATCCGCAATGTAATTATTGGTCAATTTTATAGAGTAGTAGTTTTATCGCAACAAAAATTGAAACGCAATAAAATAATCTAACGTTTCGATTTATAAAGGGTGTCCAAAAAATGTTGGAGGTCCTTGAAAGGGATGGTTCGGGAGGTGATTTGAAACAACTTTTTCCTTAGCGAAAATGTTATCCGAGCCTTCATTATGGAGATACTAACAGAAAACTCCGACCAATCAGAGCGTGCCAAGGGCGTGGCCTACGGCTACTGTGGGCGGTCCATCGCCATACTCGCGCGCTGATTGGTCGGGGTTTTCTCTTAATATCTCATTAACGAAGCCTCTGACAACATTTTCGTTAAGGAAAAAGTTATTTCAAATCATCCCCCGAACCCCTTTCAAGGACATCCAACATTTTTTGGACACCTTATATATTTTTTTGAACCTCTTCAGGAGTCTATAAACTAAGGAATGAATAATACTTATACATACTTAGAAGTCAAAAATGGTATAAAAAACTAAAACAATGGGAAAAACTTATTTTTCATAATTACGAATAGAAAATTATATAACAATGACATATAAATGATATAAAATAAGAAAATAGACAGAATTAATTTGGAATTACAAGTATTATTCATTCTTTAAGCTACAGATTCCTGACAAAGACCAAAGAAACATTATTTTGTCGTTCAAACAACAAAAATATTATTAAAGTGAAATTTGATAGTTTCGATCGTGGTTTTAATATACACTTTCTAACTTACTGTGTTGATTGATCAACATCCGAATGGAGATTCTAGACATGAGGAACCTGTCCAAGAAATACTGAATGTTATTCTCCGTCTGAACGTCGACGTCGTGCGATTCTTTCAGTTCCAGGACACCCTGTGCCATCGTCTCGACGATATCCTTGTGCCTATTACGGACTTTAATTAACGTTTGGCAGAATCTACCGGAAAGAAACAAATTGTAGTTAGCTTTATCTATTCGGTGCTCATGAAACGTTTAACAGATTCCTTAAAGGGAAAGTTGGTTCAGCCATGGTTTTTTTCCAATGCATATTTTGTTAAGATATATGTACAATTTATTTTTGTTCTTGAAACTCTTTTTACATATATAAAGATACATTCAAAGGAAAAAATTTGACGCTAAAGATGTAATATGAATATACAGGATGTCCCAAAAATGGTAGAGGTCCTTGAAAGGAGTGGTTCGGGAGGTGATTTGAAACAACTTTTTCCTTAGCGAAAATGCTGTCCGAGGCTTCGTTAAGGAGATATTAACGGAGAACACCGACCAATCACCGCGCGAGTACGCCGCGGTGGACTACCCACAGTGGGCGTGGCTACGCACTAGGCGGCCGCAGTAGCGTAGTTTTCGCAAAGGAAAAAGTTGTTTCAAATCACCTCCTGAATCACTTATTTCAAAGAACTCCAAAATTTTTGGGACACCCTGTATACTCTGATTATTGAAGGAATCACTCCATGAACTTCATACATCCCATAAGTGAAAATATTGAAATCTCCAAAATCCAAGTGTCCACATAATTTTAATATAATATACTACTTGGCGTCCACCGCTTCCAACTATATTTCAATGTCTAATTTGACGCTATAACTTTGTGAAAGCAAAGTCGAAAAGTCGATTTTTTCTGCTGGACCAGACACTCCCCTTTACTGGAGACAGTTTATTTTCATGAACAGTTTGAGGAAACAGAATTCTGCAGCGAATCGATTCAAGAAAATGTTGTGACGTTGGAGACTCACTCGTCTAAAGTGTTCTCGTTGACTTCAACCTTCTCGAAGTGCACGATATCCTCGAACGAAGTGACGTATAAATTATTAACTATACCCACACTAGGCATTCTCAACAAGTTGTCTGGTAGCAGGTGGATCTCCTTCATTATATTGGCCAGTCGGACGGGCAGCTCCTTCCTTAAGAATATAAAAGACTTCCTTTCGCAAGCACTTAGTCCTGAAACATAAAAAGGTTTCCTATAAATATATATGTATACAAAACCACGCAAGCGAGAGTAATTAATCACAGTTTTGTTTAAATCAATAGTTCTCGACCCTCTTAACCCTGGCCAACCCCTATCGATACGAGAGAACACCCCTTCTCCAACACCTCCACAATATCATCTTTGCAAATCTCTGCAAATGAAGTATTTGCAAAAATAAAAGAGTGAATATTTAAAAAGAATTGTAATCTGTGATATTTAATAAAATGTATGAATTGTTACAGATTAAATTAAAAAATATAGTTTTGCAGTTGGTGCATAATCCACATTGTACAAATCATCACAGTTTGTTGAGTAGCGATTCACCCCCGTATTTAATGTTTTAAATGAAGTATCATTGACGAAGTAAGACTCCTGTTCGTAATTCTTGTTACTTGGTAAAAGAAATGTCTTTGAATAACATAAACTAAGAAATTTCAGAACAATATTAAAAGGACAGAAAATAAATAAATAAGAAATTATGAATTTTTAGTCTGAAACGAGGGTTAATTAATACGTTTCAAGTTTTTGTTTTAGTCATTTTGGAAAGTTATGAATGTTATAATTGACCGATGAGAAATTTTACTGTAGTGTCGCGCACCTTGTACCCAAGAGCACGAGGGGTCATTCCACGCTAAATGGATTACTTGTTTTGGGCGATGTCCCACAATCAGATTTTGTCCCAAATGAAATATATCGTAGTTTATGTGAAATTAGGGGGGGTTTAAGTCATCATTTTGCTCGTTTCGAAACCGTTTGAGAAATATAAGCCTTGAAATATTGCGATTTTTGCCCATTTTCGTGAAAATGGCTTGTGCATTTGAATTTTTTTCTCTGGAACAGTTCATCCTATCGACCTCTTCTTTTTTTTTATTTTAATCGGAAGAGATTGTTCTTCCTGAATATATTTTTACTTGGAGCAGATCTGATTTTTGCAATATTAAAAATCATAAATAAATGTTTATTTTCCAAATACCACCTCGATGTCGCGTTTCTAAAAATCCGAAAAAATTGTCATTGCATTTCTGGAAGTTCTCTCTACGAAATAACTAAGTTTCATTCTAATGTTCTTTCGATTAGCGTCGTACTAAAATATTAAAGACAGCTGCCTCGTACTGCATCAGGTAGACTGGCAGTGCGGTTCGGTATTATGGGACGAACCGCCTCTATTCAAAATTTTATAGCGGCCTTCCTTGACGTGACACCGGAATGAAGCCTAACTATTTTGTAAAGAATACTTTAAGGAGTACGATAATAATTATCTCGCATTTTTAAAAACGCGACCTTAAGCTGAATTTTACAAAATAAAAATTTATTTAAATTTTCAATATTTTTACAATTAGTTTGCAACCGAATAAAAATATATTCGGATATAGTAATACCTTCCCAATTAAAAAAAAAAAGAAAAGGTAGGTCAATAGAACGAACAGTTCCAGAGAAAAAAATTCAAATGTACAACCTTTTGAACAATTTTGTCAAAATTTAGTTGAAAATAAATAAGTGTAGTTACGTGTAAGAGTGTAATAAATAAAAAAAGATCAATTACTTAAAAAAAAAAATGCAACTCGAGGATTTGAACCCTTGATTATCCGCGTAACATTCTAGAATCTTGCCATGTACTTCAAAAACATATTCTTCACTGACGTAAACACCAATCACGTCTTTCAATTTTCACGAAAATGGGCAAAATTCGCAATATTTGGAGGCTTGTATTTCTCAAATGGTTTCGAAACGGGTAAAATGACGACTTAAACTCCCCCTAATTTCACGTAGACTACAATATATTTCATTTAGAACAAAATCCGAGACATCGACCAAAAGAAGTGATCGATTTAGTGTGGAATGACCCATGTTTATTTACTTTTCCTCTCTATGTTGTAATTGAAATTTAAATGAATCTTTACACTAGAAATAAGTCAACAAATATAATTGATTACAATTGTTATTATGGCAATTCATTTTTAAAAGCGTGACCTCAAGCTGAATTTTACAAAATAAAAATTTATTTAAAATTTTCAATATTTTTACAATTAGTTTGCAACCGAATAAAAATATATTTGAATATAGTAATCCTTCCCAATTAAAATAAACAGAAGAGGTAGGTCAATAGGACGAACAGTTCCAGAGAAAAAAATTCAAATGTACAACCTTTTGAATAATTTTCAAAAACAAAAAATTATAATGTTAATATTTCCTTAACCTCGGACAATATTTTCGCTAAGGAAAAAGTTGTTTCAAATCACCTCCCTAACCATCCCTTTTAAGGAATTCCAACATTTTTGGGACACCCTGTATACGTTTGACGGAAGTCTTAAATTTACTCAGGATATTTTTTCTGCATCGCTATATGTATAATGAATTAATGAATAACCAAAATATTTTTGTTTCACAGTTAACAATAGTCTTGAATACATTTTTACTTCTACAAGAAAAAATATGCCAAAGTACTGTTGAATAAAACGTTAATTTTATATATGCTACATGTTTTTATGTTAAAGTGTTGTTAGCTAACTTCTATAATTATTACTAAACTACGGATCTTTATGCAAAATAAAATCTTCGCGAACGTGCCTCCGAAAATTGAACCTAAATAGGAATTTATTTTATTCTGCACATATTATAACGCGAACTTTATTTCCAATCTTTTTTATATTCTTGCGTATTGTTTGCATTTTGTAGTTTCTTGCATATTCAAATTTCCTATAAATACATAAAGATCCGCAGTCTAATTATTACGTACAACCTGTCACTTGTAAATTATTAAATATATTTCCTTTACAGTTATTACCAGTTTTTAGTCGAATTTTAGTTTAAAAAAAAAAAAAAAACATGAAATACGTCAAACAAGTGAAAGATTACTACACTTTATACGTTGAATATTTTGACACCCTGTTGTTCAAATTGATTTATACTAATACAACTCAAGTATCATAATATGGGAAATAACTTCCCAAAATTTCATTAAAATATTTTCAATAACACGAAAGTTACAAATTTTTTTATCGCTGAGAACTGTTTCATCTCACTACGCAGCGCGAGAACGTGTCAAAGAAACGCCGCAAAATATTCAAGCATCTTTGAATGGAACAAGATCAAGGGTTACCGTGACTTTTATCGTAAACACGTCGAGGTCTCCGTCTCTTCAAAACAAACGTTACGAATTTCATAGCCGATTGTCACCGCGGGCTGTACACCTTGAATAAAAAAAAAAACTATTTTCGTACAAAAGGCCGTGAATACGTTTCCGATTAAAGTGTAAATAAGAACGAACAGACGAGACGGTTAAAGTCTAAAGGCCGGGAGGCTCGACCGTCGTTGATTGCACGAAATACAGAAATAATAGTTCGCGTCATATTGTATCTTATCAGACGGGAAGTACGTTTCCCTGTCGCTTCGCGAAAGGTCCGAAATACGCGCCGACCTGATTTCGTAACTAGCAGAGAAATAGCAACAGTAGCGAAGACGCTAGTCGTTTTATCCCAAATTAAACTTTCGATGATTAATTCTCGATTCGCTTGGTACCAATGCTTTTAGCAATTAACACAAATTTCGCTTGTAATCCTGTTTTTTCTATTAAAAGGGTCGTACTACGGCTAATTATATCCGAGTTTTTTTTTCGAAATTTCTTTTTCTAGATCACCAAATTACGCACACTTGAAATTATTACAACATTTCGACTGGTATTGAAACAAACGATATAAAATTTTTCAAGCAAAGATATAGTTTTTTTTCGCGTAAATATAATATATAATTTGATACAAATTTTTTCAAGCGAAAATATAGGTTTTTTTCGCGTGAATATAATATATAATTTGATACAAATTTTTTCAAGCAAAAATATAGTTTTTTTTCGCGTGAAGAGCTCTCGAAAGAATTTTTTTAGGCGTTTTTCAAAGGCGTCGACTCTAACTATTTGTCCCCGTTGAAATTTTGAGTTAATTGACCATCTAGTTTACGAGACACGTGATTAATCAAAATAAAACGTTATTTGTGAGGAAATATGTAAAATTCTACGAGAATGGCAAATTTTGATTAATCACCTATGCAATTTGAATACATGGTTCGTGCTTATATTAGTGACGAATATATTTGTGTTGTACAAGACAAAATTCTAGAATGTTACGCGGATGACCAGGGTTGAAATCTCGCCAGTTGCAATTTCTTTTTTAAGTAATTGATCGTTTTTATTTATTACATTTGTACACATAACTACACTTATTTATTTTCAACTAAATTTTAAATAAAATATCTTTATTTGTGAGAAATTGTAATAAATAAATAAATAAAATTTAGGGTTTCTTTTTTAACTTGGGTCTCGGGAAAATTACGTTCCGTACTAATTGGTAACACTGTACTACACCTGTAGAAAGTCCTTCGTGAAAATTAATTCGTTAAAAAAGAAAAATTCGAAAAACTGCGCGTAAAAATTGTATCAATTAACTATGATGTCACCTGATAATTATTTCGAAAGGACAAACGTTTACGCGAATCGTTCTAGATATTTTTATCGTGCCAGACGATAAAATGAATTTATCAGTCAAATTTACAAATAATTAGACGATAAATCGATAACGATGTTTTGCTTGCCACTGTTTTTCATCGAAATGTTTTCACTGGGTGATTCGTTCACCCAAACCGCTTCCTCTTTTTTCTTACGCGATTGCGTAAGCTAAAAGAGCTCGTGATCGCAATATTTCTCCGGCAGAGTGTACAGAGCAATTAATAACGAACAACTATTACATATGTAGCATCAATACATACGTGAAATCCGTTCGAATAAATAAAGCAATAAATCGAATGAAGAGGCGTTGTTATTAAACTATTTATCGTGTTTACATTGAGTATTACGAATGTGTGTGTAAACACATTTGTTCTTCTTATCGGGTATAATTGTCACAGGTCGCATATATACAGGGTGTCCCAAAAGTCGGGGAGGAGTCGGAAATGGGGGGTCGCTAAGACGATTCTGAACAAC